AGGCAGGAAAACCAGTTAGATTTTTTCCAGTTAGTCCACACAAGAGATGATGAGGGCTTGAACCAGCAAAGAGGCTTGAGTAAAGATAAGGGGAAGGATGCATGAGGTATTGTACACAAAAAAAACAACATGGATCAACCAAATTTCGCAACTGATTGGATATGAGGAGTGGGGGAGAGTGAGGATCCTGTTGAGGATTCCAAGCTTATGCTGCTGGGTAACTAGGATAGGGGTATTCACAAAAGAAATAGGAAGTCTGGAAAGAGAGGTGAGTTTGAGGGAGAAAATGAGTTCTGCTTGGGACATGTTGAGTTTGGGATGTCCAGTATATCCAGTTTGAAATACCCAGTAGGTGGACTTTTGGGGGTGGAATCAAGATGGTGGATTAGAAAAACAGTCAAACTCTCCCAACATTTCCCTCCAAACAACATTAAAATAACACCTCAAATACAGTTCTAGGGCAGCAAAGCCAACAAAAGGTCAGAATGAAACATTCTTCCAGCCCAAGAAAACCTAGGAGGTCAAAGAGATCTATGACGTGGAGATGGAGGCTGGCCTAGAATTCATGTGGATGAAATACCAGTGGTGGGATTAGGTGGTGGTGACAGAAGCAACAGAGAGATTACAAGGGACCCATATGCTAGCATGGACACAGGAACTGATTCTGTTTGACATCTCCATTATCTATACCTACTTCTGGGTTATAGTTCAAGGGCAGTGAGGAGCAATTTCAGTCAAGAAGAAATGGAAGCCCTAAGTGGCAGTATCCTTTCCAGCCGCAACGGATCAAGGACTCTGAGGAACAGCATCCTTTCTGGTCCCAAGGGAGGAAAAACCCTGAGGAGCAATAACTATTGCAATCTTAGGAAATCAGGGTGTCTTCATGGGTAAGGACCAGAGTACAAACCAAGAGAGCAGTGACCATGTCTCCTCAGACCACACTACCTTGGAAACACCAAAAACTTCCAAACCCCCATAACTCTCTGAAAATTGTGCAGAAAGAGTCTGAAGCTTGAGACTGTGCTCCTCTACCCACCTATGCTAGGAACAGAGCCCAATATTAACATAAAGTTCTAAATCAAGAAACAGGGTGGAAAATGAGCAAATACCATAAAAAGAATCTGACCATAAAAAACAACCATGGTGATGGGGAAGATCAAGACACAAACTCAGAAAAAGACAATGAAGTCAAAACAGCTACAAGTAAAGCCTCAAAGAAGAAAAAAATGTGAACTGGACATATGCCCAACAAAAATTCCCAGGAGAGCTAAAAATGACTTTCAAAATTAAGAATAGTAAAGGAAAAATTAGGTAAAGAAACTAAAGCAAAGGAAGAAAATTATGAAAAGACAATAGCTTGGTAAGAGGCACAAAAAAACACTGAAGAAAATACTACCTTAAAAAAGCAGAATTGGCCAAATGGAAAAACAGGTACAAAAGTTCACTGACCAAAATAATTCCTTAAAAATTAGAATTGGGCAAGTGAAAGCTAATGACTCTATGAGACATCAAGAAACAATAAAACAAAGTCAAAAGAATGAAAAAATAGAAGAAAATGTGAAATATCTAATCAGAAAAACAACTGACATGGAAAATAAATCAAGGAGAGATAATTTAAGAATTATTGGATTACCTGAAAATCAAGATCAAAGAAAGAGCCTAGACATCATATTTCAAGAAATTATTGAGGAAAACTGCCCTGATATCCTAGAGCCAGAGGGTAAAATAAAAATTGAAAGAATCCACCAATCACCTCCTGAAAGAGACCCCAAAATGAAAACTCCCAAGAATATTCTAGCCAAATTCCAGAGCTCCCATGTCAAAGAGAAATCCTTAAGGCAGCCAGAAAGAAATCATTCAAATATTATTGGAGCTATAGTCAGGAAAAAATAGACCTAATTAAAAGCAGATAAGCAGAGAAACTACAATTTGCTAAAGGGAACTATACATGGGGCAGTTAGGTGGTTCAGTGGATAGAGCTCCGGCCTTGGAATCAGGAGGACCTGAGTTCAAATCCAGCCTCAGACACTTGACTCTCACTAGCTTTGTGACCATGGGCAAGTCACTTAACCCAATTTCATCAAAAATAAAATAAAATAAAAAATAAAGGGAACTATACACAATGAAGTAGTGTCAATACTAAACATATATGCACTAAGTGGCCTAGCATCCAAATTCTTAAAGGAAAAGAATTACAGGAGGAAATAGTAAAACTGTATTAGTGGGGGAACTCAACTTTTTCCTCTCAGAACTAGATAAATCTAACCATAAAATACATTTTTAAAAGTCAAGGAGATGAACAGAATCTTAGAAAAGTTAGATACGATAGACTTCAGTAATAGAAAAAAATATACCTTTTTCTGAATTGTACATAGTACCTTCACAAAAAATGTATTAGACCATAAAAATCTCACAACCAAATGCAGAAAAGCAGAAATATTAAATGTACCTTTTTTGGACCATAATGCAATAAAAATTTGATTTAGTAAAGGGCAGTAGAAGCAAAGATTAAAAGTTAGTTATAAACTAAATAATCTAATTGCAAAGAACGAGTGGGTTAAAGAACAAATCATAGAAATAATAATTTCATTTAAGAGAATGACAACAATGAGACAACATTCCAAAATCTGCAGGGTGCAGCCAAAGGAATACTTAGGGGAAATTTTTTATCTCTAAATTCATACATCAATAAATGAGAGAAGAAAGTTAATTAATTGGGCATACAACTAAAAAAAATTAGAAAAAGAACAAATTTTAAATTCCCAACTAAACACCAAAATGGAAATCCTGAAAGTCAAAGGAGAGATTAATAAAATTTAAGGTAAAAAAAATTGAACTAATAAATAAAACTAGGAGCTGGTTTTATGAAAAAGCCAATAAAATAAATAAACCATTGGTTAATTTGATTTAAAAAAAGAAGAAAATAAGAATACTAGTATCAAAAATGAAAAGGGTGAATGCATCACCAATGAAGATGAAATTAAAGCAATTATTAGGAGTTATTTTCCCCAATTATATGCCAGTAAAACTGACAATTTAAGTAAAATTGATGAAAAGTTTATATAAACAAACATATAAACTGCCTAGATTAACAGAAGAGGAAATAAAATACTTAAAAAACCCTATTTTAGAAAAAGAAATTGAACAAGTCATCAAGCTCTCTAAGAAAAAATCTTCACAACCAAATGGATTCACAAATGAATTCCACCAAACATTTAAGGAACAATTAATCCCAATACTATATAAGCTATTTGAAAAAAAAAAATAGGCATAAAAGGAGTCCTACAAACTCCTTTTATGACACAAATATGGTTTTGATACTTAAACCTGAGAGAACAAAAACAAAGAAATCTACAGACTAATTTCCTTAATGAATATTGATGCAAAAAATTTAAACAATATACCAGCACGGAAATCACAGCAATATATCACAAAGATCATACACTATGACCAGGTGGGATTTATACTAGGAATGCAGGGCTGTTTCAATATTAGGAAAACTATAAGCACAATTGACCATATCACTAACAACAAAAATCATATGATTTTATCAATTAATGCAGAAGAAACCTTCGACAAAATACAATACCCACTCCTATTAAAAACACTAGAAAGCACAAGAATCAATGGAACCTTTTTTTAAAATGATAAGTTGCATCTATCGAAAACCAAGAGCAAGCATTAACTGTAATAGGGATAATTTAGAAGCCTTCCCAGTAAGCTCAGGGGTGAAGCAAGGATGTCCATTATCACCACTATTATTCAACATCGTACTAGAAATACTAGCTATAGCAATGAGACAAGAAAAAGAAATTGAAGGAATAAATACAAACATAAGGAAACAAAACCATCACTCTTCGCTGATGATATGATGGTATACTTAGAGAATCACAGAGTATCAACTAAAAAACTAGTCAAAACACTTAACAATTTCAGCAAAGTTGCAGGATATAAAATAAACCACATAAGTCATCAGTATATGCTATTAGCAAATCCAGCAGCAAGAAATAGAAAGAGAAATGCCATTTGAAATAACTACAGACAATATAAAATAACCTGGGAATCTACCTGCCAAGACAAATCCAGGGACTTTATGAACATAATTATATAACACAAATAAAAACAGCTAAAAAATTGGAGAAATATTAATTACTCATGGGTAGGCTAAGCCAGTACAAAAATTATAATCCTACCTAAGTTAATTTACCTATTCAGTGCCATAACAATCAAACTACCTAAGAATTATTTTATTTTTTTTAGGCAATTGGGGTTAAATGACTTGCCTAGGGTCACACATCTAGTGTCAAATGTCTGGTCGCAGATCGGATTTGAACTCAAGTCCCCCTGACTCCAGGGCCGATGATCTATCCACTGCACCACCTAGCTGTACCTAAGGGAATCAATTTTTAAAAAGTATTAAGGAAGGTGGCCTAGGAGTTCCCAGATTTCAAATTATATTACAAAGTAGTAATCACCAAAACAATCTCGTACTGTCTAAGAAATAAAGTGGGGGATCAGTGGGATAAATCTGGTACACAATAATGCATAGTAGTAAATAGCCATAGTAATCTAATGTTTGATCAACCCAAAGACACAAGCTTTTGGGTTAGGAATTCAACATTTGACAAAAATTACTGGAAAAACTGGAAAACAGTTTGGCGGAAACCAGGCATAGTACATACTTCACAGGATCTTAAGAGGAATGAAATAAAATATTCAAAGTGCTTTATTTAACTTACTAAATGGTAAAAGAGGCAGTGTGACTTGTAGAGAATAGAGGACTGGCCTTGGCTTCAAGGTATTCCTCTGAAAGATAAAGACTGCAAGCCTGGGCAAGCCATTTAACCTTTCTTGTAAAGCCACAGCAACTTTCCACGATCTTTAAGTTACAGAGAAACTGCTGCTTGGTGTTAAGTTTCCATACCTGAGAGTTCCTGACACCAATAAAGTAAGAGAACCGGACCCCTCATCCCCCCTCCCCCCCCAAAAAACAACCCAGATTTTAAGGTCCTTGACCTCAAGGAGTGGGGCTTTTTATTTCCACTACAACACTTAATTACATATAGTCCACTTTTTTCTGTTGAATGCTGTTGCTGACATGCATGCTTTTAAAATCCTAAATCAAAGGATCAGTGCAGGGTTTATCGACACCAACATCCCCAAGCTAGGACTTCGGTAAGAAAACAGCTCTTCACGCTTAGATGCTCCGAAAGCCAAGCCTCTGCAAAAATAAACAAATAAATAAATGAAATAAGATACCACCGGCCCCACCTCCCGAGTTATTTTTATCTCTTCCCGCGGAACCACGCTCCCTCACGAAAAGACAGACGAGGAAGCCAACAAACCAAGAGACAACTGAGGCAGGAAGCGGAAAGGGCTCAGGGGCCGGGCCTGGAGGCACTGGGCCGCCGCCACCCGCAGCCACATCTCCGGGTCTTGGTATAAGAAGTCCTGGAGGGGAGGGCCCGGGAGAAGGGGGACGGGGCAGAAGAGGCAGCACTACCGCGGAGCCAGGGTGTGAGAGGCCTTCGGCCACACCTCCCCGCACTGGGTGGCGGGGCAGCTGAGGGCGGGAGAGGAGCTCGGCGGCACGCTTCCCGCTCCCCGCCTCCCGCCTCCCGCCTCCCGCCTCCCGCCTCCCGCCTCCCACCTCCCTCCGCGCGGCGCTCGCGACTGCGCGTGACCAGACCTGACGAGGCTGGCCGTTCGTCACGTGGGTGGGGGAGGAGGAGGGAAGAAGGGGCCGGGAGCGGGCGGCTCGTCCGGGTCACGTGGTATGCATGGGCTGGAGACGGGCGGGACTGCCCTCAGGGGAGCTCGGGCAGACACCCTCTAAGTGAGGTTAGAGGAGCTTCGGAGCGAACCCGTGCAGAGCGCCTGGACCAGTCAGGTTTGAAGAACTGGGAAGGGGGTCACTGGGATGCAGGGGGAAGAGAATGGGTCCTGCGCCAGACTTCTCAGTTGCTGCCCCCACTGCCTGCGCTCTCACCCATCCCCTGCCCTCCCTCCGCAGCTGGAGGTGCTTCTGCCATCGCTTCCTAATGGGCTGCCTTCTTATCTGCCCAGATCCCTAACATTAATCCCTAATTGCCAAATTGCTATTTCTAAAATATAGCTCTGATCACGTCTACCTTTCCTGCCCCAGTCTATCTGCTGACCTCCAGTCTCTCATCTTTAGCTGCCTTTCAGATATATCCGACTTGGATGTCCAGTAGATATCTGAAACTCACTATGTCCAGAAACTGAACTCATTATCTTTTCCCCTAAACCCATCCCCCCTCCTAACTTCCCTATTACTATAAAGGGCAATTCCATCCTCCTAGTCCCTCAGACTCAACCCAGGAGTCATCCTCAGTGCCTCACTGTCACTCATCCCATATTCAAGCTGTTGCTTGAAGCCTGTCACCTTTGTCAGTATCTCACAATTAACATCACCTTCTTTCCTCTGACTCTGCCACAATTGGTTTAAGCCCTCATTATATGGACTATTGCAGTAGTCTGGTGGGGCTGCCTGTCTCATGTCTTTCCTCCACTCCAATCCTTCCTCCATTCAACCACTAAAGTGATTTTCCTAAAGCCCAAGTCCAAACATATCACCCCCACAACCAGCTCAATAAACTCAGTGGCTCCCTGTCTCTTCTAGGATCAGATACAATAACCTAGCCCCCTCCTTCCTTCCTGTCTTCTTACACCTTCATCCCAGCCATGTACTCTTCCATCCAAGGACATGGCCTCCTGGCTGTTCCACCAACAAGACACTAGGTCTTTGGGCATTTTCTCAGGCAGTCCCCCATGCCTGGAACTCTCTCCTTTCTCTGTTCCATTGCAGATCTCCACGGCTTCCTTTAAGTTCCAACTAAAATTCCATCTTCTACAGGAAGCCTTTCTTAATTCTAGGGCCTTCCTTGTTTATTTCCTATCAGTCCTTCACAGGTAGTACTTCGAGTATGTACATATTTGGGCCTAGTGGATAAAGTGCAGGCAGGGTCTGGAGTCAGGATTACCTCAAATCTAGCCTCAGATTAACTGTGACTATGGGCCAGTCACCTAACCGTGCTTGTCTCAGTTTTCTTATCTGTAAAATGAGCTGGAGAAGAAAACAGCAAATCAGGCTAGTATCTTTGCCAAGAAAACCCCAAATGGGGGTCACAAAGAGTTGGACATGGCCCAACAACACATATTTTGCTTCTTTTCTCATTAGATTGTGAGCTCCTTGAGGACAGAGACTGTCTTTTCCCTCTTTTTGTGTCCCCACTGCTTAGCACATTGTAGAAGTGCTTCATAAATGTCCTTGGACTGAGGTCCCTCCCTTGCTCCAGTATGAAGCTCCAGTGGCTGACTCCCTCTTACCTAGTCTCAGATCATGTATAGACTCCTCTGTTTAATATTTAAAGCCTTCACAATCTGGCCCCAGCTTTCCTTTCCAGAGTAATTTCACATTAAACACCCCCCCCATCCATGATAATATTATATGTTACAACCATTTGCTGTTCTTCATAGTAGGCTTTCCATCGACTGCCTTTGTCTTTGCACCAGTGCCTGGAGTGTACCCTTTTACTATCTTCTAGAATATCAACCTTCTTCAAGATTTGACTTGTGCCCTGGCCCAGTCCCAGGCTTTTGCTGATCTCCCCTAGTTGTTAGTTCTGCCTCTCCCACACCCTCCAATTCTGTTGTAATTACTCTCCTTCATGTGTACTGGTTCCAGGCAGGCTGGCCTTGGGGTTTCCTATATACAATATTCCATCTCCCAACATCAGGCCCTTGTACAGGATGTGTCCCATGCCTGGAATACACTTAGTCCTCTGCATCAAGAGAGGCTTTCTGTAGGAGATGCAGCTGAGGTCAGTCTTGAAGGAAACCAAGGATTCCAAGAGACAGAAGTGAGACAGAAGGATACATTCAGAGCATGGGGACCAGATAGCCTGTGCAATCCAGAGAGGGGAAATGGAATATGCAGGTCGGAGAATGGCGAGTGGACTCTCTTGCTAGAATGCAGTGTCTGAAAGGGAATAATTCAAAATGGCTCTGGAAAAAGAGGCTGGAACCAGACTGGATGGCTTTAAATGCCAAGGTGAATATTTCATCCAAGAAGCAATGTGGTGCCATGGGAAGAATTTTGAACAGGAGAGGGATTTGGTCATATTAGTGTAATAATAATAATAATAGCTAACATTTATATAGTGCTTACTATGTGCCAGGCACTGTGCTAAGCAACTTACAATTATTATCTCATTTGATCCTCACAACAACCCTGGGAAATAGGTGCTGTTATTACCCCCCATTTTGTAGATGAGGCAGTTAGGTGGTGGAGTAGATAGGGTGCTGGGCCTGGAATCAGGAAAACTCATCTTCCTGAGTTTAAGTATAGCCTCAGACATTTTACTAGCTATGTGACCCTGGGTAAATCACTTAACCCTGTTCACCTTAGTTCCTCCTCTATAAAAGGAACTAGAGAAGAAAATGGCAAGCTACTCCAATATCTTTGCCAAGAAAACCTCAAATGGGTTCATGAAGAGTTGGACGTAATGGAAATGACTGAATAACAACAGCAACAACAAACAGATGAGGAAACTGAGACAAAATGTGACTTGACCTGGTCATACAGCTAGTGTCTGAGGCTGGATTTGAACTCAGGTCTTCCTGACTCCTGACTCTTTACTGTGTCACCTACCTGCCCCTTAAATCACTACACAGCAATATGCAATGTAATAAAAGTCGTTCATATTTATGATAGGGCTAAGTGCATTTCTCACCATGGCCCCATAAGGTTAAGTGGTACAAGTATTGTTGTCCTCATTTTACAGATGAGAAAAGCAAAATGATTTGCCCAGCATCACACAGCAGCACAGCCTGGATTTCAAACCAGAACTTCTGAGTTGTTCTCACGTGCCTTCCTACTGCTTTTCTGTTCCCAATTCCAGCAGTCCAGCTTGGTTTGACTGCTTTCAAGTATCATTGCAGAGTCATGTTATATCTTGGGCTCTGGAAACAGTTTGAGGGAAAGGCTTGGAGTCAAAATAGCAACAGCAGCAGCATATTTTATATAGTCCTTTAAGGTTTATAGAATGTTTTATAACAACCCTGTCAAGTAGGTATTATTATTGTCAGAATACCATTTATTGAACTATATGACTAGGAATAAAATCTCTTTGAATTTTAGCATCTTCTTTGGTAAAATAGAAATTATGCATATCTCAGAGAGTTACTGTTAAGCTCACATTAGGTAAGAATTTTTGCAAACTTTAAAGCACTATGTTTATGTAAAAATTATTAAACTATAGTTTAATATACAAATATAGTTCAATGCTTATGTTTGGCACATAAATATTTTATGTAAATTTGAGCTATTATTAGCTATTATTGACTATATTGACCTCTGTCCTACAACTAAAAACATCCTGTTGTTCCTAATTTGACTTATTTGTCACGTCAGTCAGCCTTTAGTAGTTTTCTTTACTTTCATTACCTTGTCTTCTTTACTTTTTTTCCTTACTTTCACTTTCCTGCCTTATATCTTGGCTTTGAGCAAGTGTAACCCTGTTGCCTCCGTTTCTTCATTTGTTCACTGTGGAAAGTCGAGACCACTAGCATCTTTGTCTGGAAGGAATAATGAGTTGATGTTTGGTGAATGCTTTGAGATACCAAGAAAATGTCTGTGGATTAGTAATTATCGAATCAAGCTTACTTTCCTATGAGTTGGCCTTACCCTCTTCATGCTGTGAAGTCTTCATTAATTCTGTTTCTCAACAGGCTACAACTGGATCTAGAAACAGCATAGCTATCTCAGGTGTAAGTCATGACCGTGGAAGGGATGCCACGTCCCTGGCACTTGCGATGGCTGATTCTAGGAGGCTGTGGTGCTGCTGTCTTAATTATCACTACTCTCCTGGGGGCTTCCTTTCTTCAAGTATCAGTTGTGGTTCCTCGAGAACGCAGAGACATCTCCTCAGCACAACAGGCCATCTACAGAGCTGTCCAGGAGGCAACAGGGAAGCCCTGGGCCCAGCCCCATCAGGGGTCTCCTAGAAGCCCTGCTGGAGCTCCTTTGCAGTGTGACATTTCTCCTGATTACCGCTTTGACTGTGCCCCAGAAAAGACCCTCAGTCAGGAGCAGTGTGAGGCCCGAGGCTGCTGCTATGTCCCAGTGGCTCAGCAGGGATTCTCTCAGATATGGAAGCCATGGTGCTTTTTCCCACCCAGTTACCCTAGTTACAAATTGGAGAACCTCACCACCACAAGGACAGGCTACACCGCCACCCTGACTCGTACAGTGCCTACCTTCTTCCCTAAGGACATCCTCACCCTGCATTTGGAGGTCTGGATGGAGACAGAAAGCCGACTACACTTTAAAGTAGGTGAAAGTGCCAGGTTTGGGGTAGGGTAGATATACTGGTTGTAATTGTTTAGGGAATGGGTTTTGGGGTTAGCACCCTGCATCTCCCTGCTCATCAAGAGTCTATGAAAAAAAAAAGAGTGTATGACTTGGATGTACAATTCATCTCTCCTTTTCTAACAGATCAAAGATCCTGCCAATCACCGTTACGAGGTTCCTATAGAAACCCCTAAAGTCAGTAACAGGGCTCCTTCTCAGCTCTACAGTGTGACATTTGAGAACAATCCCTTTGGTTTGGTCATATCTAGGAAGTCAAATGGAATGGTGTTGTGAGTATTCATTTGTCTCTCCCTGACTGCAGACCTGGAAGTGTGAAAGGCAGTATTGTGTAGTGGATAGACTTTGGAGTTGGGATGATCAGATTTACTGCTAAAAGAGATCTGAGGGGTCATCTAGTCCAATACCCTCATTTTATAGATGAAGTACTGAGGCCCAGAGAAGATAAGACGTGGGGCTGAATCCTAGCTCAGATATTTAGTAACTATATGACCATAGATAGCTAGGTGGCACAGTGGATAGAGTGCTGCACCTCCAATCAGTAGGACCTGAGTTTAAATCTGGCCTCAGACACCTGTGATGGATGTGTGATCCTCGGTAAGTCACTTAACCCTGTTTGCCTCATCTGTAAAATGAGCTGGAGAAGGAAATGGCAAAAACCACTCCAGTATCTTTGCCAAAAACAAACAAACAAAAAATCCAAAAAAACAACCAAGTGGGGTCACAAAGAGTAGGACACAACTAAATGATTGAACAGCAACAAATGACTTTGGACAATTCACTCAGCCTCTGAGATGCTCAGTTTCTGCATTTGTAAAATGAGGATTATTAAGAGGGAAGGGAATAAACATTTCTATATTGCCTACTATGTGCCAGACACTGTGCTAAGCATTTTACAAATATCTCATTTGATCCTCAGACAACCCTATGAGGTAGGTGCTGTTATTATCCCCATCTTACAATTGAGGAAACTGAGGCAGAAGTTGTGTCTTGCCTAGAATCACACAGCTGGTAACTAAGTGTCCAAGGTTGGATTTGAACTCAGGCCTTTCTAACTCCAGGCCTGGTACTCTATGCACCATGATATGTAGGATAATAATACTTACACTACCTACTTCCTAGAGTTGTTTTGATGAAAGTGTTTGCAGACCTCGAAGATTAAAATGAACATGAAGTTATTGTTGTCATTACTGCTACTTATATGCCAGCCAGTGCGAGAGGCGTCAGAAGCATAAGGGTTCCCTTTAGGTGTGCTCTGGGGCCTGTAGGGGAATCTCCCTGTTTGTCCTTTTCCTAAAAATAAGAGAACAGCAGTAGCCCAAGTCATGGGACACGGCAGAGGACTCTGGCCTCAGGGATATGTGGTGGGCTTTTTTGGAGAGACTGTTCCACTTTGCTTGCATACCCATTAGATGGGCCATATCCTCATTCCTCACACCAGAAGTGTCAGAGTTGAAGGCACAGGTTTACACTTATCTTCCATTGGCTTCTTCCCAATGTAACACACACTCTGGGATAGTTAGTTAACATGCACTCAAACTCACAGTTTGAGTCCCTGGAGGGCAGCTGATACCCTTTATTTCTGGGAACGGGGGAAAGGGATCCTGTGAATACCTGCTGCTGTCATTACATCTTATTGTTCCTCAATTGGTGGCTTTTGCATTAATGGTCAGCTAATAGACACAGCTCTTGGCAAAGTTATTTATCTTAGTAAATGTCCTAATAAATAACAGTAGCTATAAAACATTCCTCCCCAGAAACCAGGGGTACACTCTGCCACAAAATATAGAGTGTCTGTGGAAAGAGTTGGCATAAACTTAAGAGTATTGTGGTGGTAAGGCTTACATGTAGGAACACATGTGGCCAAGGCAACTGACAGCTTTAGAACAGCAAGAACGTGACGCCTTTCCTTTGCTTGTGGAATCCTTGCAAAGCCTTCGCTGGGGCTAAATGTTTCTGTGGGCTGGGTTGCTGAGGTGGTCTCTCAGGATCTGCTTCTCTTTGCAGCGTCCCTTTCTAGCCAGGGATAGAGCTCTCTTGAGTCCTTAGCTAGCGCTCTTCTCTGCTGCCAAAAGTTGTGTTCCTGGAAGCTACTTCTGGCCTCAAATGACTGCCTCTCTATATTTGGACTGTGTGTCCGCTCTCTCGACCTCAGCCTCAAACCTACTCTGCAACTGCTGGGTGGTGTGTCTCCCTCTGAGCACATACCTTCAATGCTAGGTTCTATGGCTCTTTTTTTTTTTTTGGGGTAGAGAGAGGCCTCTGCATAGAGGAGAGGGGAAAAGGCAAGAGAAGAACAGGTACCCTTATTCTACTCAATCAGCATAGCATAGTAATAAGGACAGCCACAGAAGTACATTCCTTTCCCTCTTACACAGAAATAGCTGACTATACTCTTCCATTCTTTTCCCCTTCAAGTCTCTGTCCAGTTTGTTATTTTTTTTATTGACTGGTGAAGTCTCATGAGATGTTTTTGTCTTGAGAATAAGCCTTATGTCTTAGCAGAGATCCAAAATAATTTTGTTCATTCTTGGAACAAGATTCTGGGGTTGAGTGGGTTCTCAAGAAGTCATCATGTCCAGTTCCTTGTTTCTAAACAGAGTCACAGGAGCCAGCCAGAAGGGAGAGGAACTGTCACTTTAGTCACTTCTCTGAAAAGCCAGAACCCTGAAAGAGCACTATTTTCTAACTTAATAATAGATAGGACTGCTTGACTCCATAATGTCGTATGGGGAATTGACTACTAAGACAGATAGCGCAGTCTTCATAGGCTATGGTCGCTGCTGCCTTTTGTGACCCCCTCTAGCTTCTGCTCACTTCTGGTTTCTAGAATGGTAAGTGAGGCATTGTGTTTGATCAAGAATGATTTCTTCTATCACAGAGTCATCTGTAGTTTGCTCTGCTGGGGAGGATGTGGCCTATCTGGAACAGCCTCCCCAAAAAAGTCTGCCACATACCCCTGAGGCCAGAGTCCTCTGCAGTGTCCCATGACTTGGACTACTGCTGTTCTCTTATTTTTTTTTTTTTTTAGGCAATTGGGGTTAAGTGACTTGCCCAGGGTCATACAGCTAGTAAGTGTCAAGTGTTTGGTCTGAGGCTGAATTTGAACTCAGGTCTTCTTGACTTCAGGGTCGGTGCTCTATCTACTGTGCCACCTACCTGCCCCGTTCTCTTATTTTTAAGAAAAGGATAAACAGTATGGTTCCCCTGTAGGCCCCAGAGCACACTTAAAGTGGTCTCTTTGGGAACATTTCCCCCAATGCATGCAGGTTACTCTCAGATTCCCCTGTTTTCCTTGAGATTAACTGTGGACCAGATGACTTAATAAGAAATTTTGATCTCTCCTTGGCAGGCTGAATACAACTATTGCTCCCCTGTTCTTTGCTGACCAGTTTCTCCAGATTGCTACCTCTCTCCCCTCCTCATACATCATTGGCCTTGGGGAACACCAGACTCCCCTAATACTCAACACCAACTGGACCAAGATCACCTTATGGAACAGAGACATAGCACCTGAGGTAAATGGGGAGAGCCATGAAAGGAAAGATTTTTTTTTTTTCAGTTTGACCAGAGGATAGGAGGGGTAGAAGAGATAGAATGTCCATTGCTCAATGACTTGTAAACACTGTACTTCTCTAAATCTTAAGATCACATGTTTTGATTTTCTTTTTTGTTATTCTATCTCACTGTTGACTTAAATTGAGTTTGCAGTTTCCTAAAAACCTCTGCTCTCTTTCACATGAGCTGTTATCTAGCCACACATTTCCCCATCCATTGTTTGTGTACCATACAAATTCTGATAGAATCTAAGAGATAATTTCTACTTCTATTCTAACAAAGCGACTAGAGTCCAAAGGATAATGGTGGCTCTCTCACACCAGCCCTCAGAGTACACAGCTGGTTGTGGTTCAAGAATACTTGATGGGAATGACTTAGTAGAAACAGTCCCTCTTCCTTTCACTAGAGCTGGGCATTTGAGTGTGTCATGGACTCTCTTGTCTGGTGAAACTTGAGACCCTTTCTTAGACATAAGTTATTCCTCGACAGGAATCATCTCCATGTTATTCTTCACCAGTGGCTGTCCAGTGGTGGTTGGGAACCCAACGCCTATTGAAGCCCTTCTATCTGTGCCACCTTTGGATAGTTCTAACTGTTAAGAAGTAAGCAGGGCCGTGTATCCCAAGTCTAGCACAGTGCCTCCCATGCCATAGAAATTGATTCTAAAATCTGCCTTTGGGCAAGAACAAGGCTATGTCTCCTTCCTCTGTCTGACCGCCCTTCAAGATCCTTGTTGTCTCCCCTTGCCCCGTCTTCTCTCACCTTGGATCCCAGAGCTCTCATCTTGTCAACAGATCCTCGTATGTCACAGTTTCTGGTTCCCTTGCTATCCCAATCACCTTTCTCTGGATGTACCCAGTTAATCAATGATCATAGAACTTCCGAGTCGGAAAATATAATATTAAGTATTTGATTTGACACAGGGAAGAATGGAGCAATCATCTCCCTCTTTCTAGAAACTACACATCTATTAATGCTGCATTTAATTAGAGGATTTGTAGCAGACATCCCTCTCCGATCCCATTGTTCTTTCTTTTTCCCTCTCTAGACACTCAGAGGGTTTTGGGTGTCAGTTTGTAAGATAAACATGTATGTCAACTTATTGGAGTCTGATGGTAAGCGCTTTTTAACTGCCATGTCACACAGTTGACTCAGATCCAACTTGCACTTCACTAACACCCTCCCTCATCCACCTCCCTGAACCTGTCCATACGTAGCTTTGTCTCCTGTATCCTGTACTTAGCCCGAATCTAAGTGGAAATTTCCTCCTTGGCCCTTTAATAACACTACTGGAATTTGAGAGGTGGTAGGAAATTACTCCATCCTTCAGAATAAGAACCAGCAGCAGTGGCCAGGAAACAAGGCTTACATCATCGCCTCCACCAAGAAACCTTTGCTATGCACTTACAGCAAAGTTCCCAGAGATCAGGAAGGCACTCTTTATTTTTTTAAAGTTTATTTTATTTTTAATTTATGGAATAAAACAATCATTTCCATAACAGTATAAAAAACAATGATTGCACATGAAACTGCAAATTTACTGTGTATAATGCATTATTTCTTTTATTTTTTTATTTTTTAAACTTATTTCCACATTAGTGATGTTATAAAGAAGAATTAGAACCAAAGAGAAAAACCATGAGAAAGAAAAAAAAAAAGGAAAATAGTATGCTTCAATCTGCATTCAGACTCCATAGTTCTTTCTCTGGATGTGAATAGCATTTTCCATCGTGAGTCTTTTGGAACTGTCTTAGATCATGGCATTTCTGAGAAGAGCTAAGTCTATCAAAACTGGTCCTTACACAATGTTGCTGTTACTGTATACAGTGTTTTTTTGGTTCTGCTCACTTCACTCAGCATCGGTTCATATAAGTCTTTCCAGGTTTTTCTGAAGTCTGCCTGCTCATCATTTCTTATGGAACAATAGTATTCCATTACATTAATATACCACAACTTGTTCAGCCATTCCCCAATTGATGGGCATCCCTTTAATTTCCAATTCTTTGCCATCACAAAAAGAGCTACTATAAATATTTTTGGACATGTGGGTCCTTTTCCCTTTTTTCTGATCTCTTTGGGATACAGACCTAGTAGTGGTATTGCTGGGTCAAAGTGTATGCACAGTTTTGTAGCCCTTTGGGCATAGTTCCAAATTGCTCTCCAAAATGGTTGGATCATTTCACAACTCCACCAACAATGCATTAGTGTTCCAATTTTCCCACATCTTCTCCAGCGTTTATCATTTTTCTGTTTTGTCATATTAGCCAATCTGATAGGTGTGATGTGGTATCTCAGAGTTGTTTTAATTTGCATTTCTCTAATTAATGGTGATTTAGAACATTTTTTCATATGATTATAGATAACTTTAATTTCTTCATCTGAAAACTACCTGTTCATATCCTTTGACCGTTTATCAGTTGGGGAATGACTTTATTCTTTTAAGTTTGACTCAGTTCTCTATATATTTTGAAAATAAGGCCTTTATCTGAGACATTGGCTGTAAAAATTGTTTCCCAGCTTTCTGCTTCTCTTCTAATCTTGGTTGCATTGGCTTTGTGCCGAAACTTTAATATTTTTGTATAATCAAAGTTATCCATTTTGCATTTCATAATGTTCTCTATCAATTATTTGGTCATAAATTCCTCCATTCTCTGTAGATCTGACAGGTAAACTGTTCCTTGCTCTCCTAATTTTTGTTTATAGTATCAGAAGACACTCTTTATAATCATGATGCTATGTACCCAAGTCTCCATTGCTTTCCTGTCATTAAACAAGTACATTGCCCATATATCTCATGAGAATATAGCTACATTTGGTGAAGTAGTAATCACAATCACTTTAATAATTAATTGGGGAGAAGATGGGATTTCAGAACTTGAGCAGAATTTGGTTACGTGAGAATTAATATTGACTACTTCTTCTCCATCCTAGCCTACGGGTAATCTATATGGTTCCCACCCTTTCTACCTATGCCTGGAGGATGGAGGGTTAGCTCATGGGGTCTTTCTGCTGAACAGCAATGCCATGGGTAAGTAATTGAGGGCTTTAGATAATTTATCCAGGGGTTCTTAACCTAGGGTTCACATTTTTTATTTCTGGTGGGTTTTTTTTAATATTTTATGGCTATTTTGATATGATCGATTTCCTTTGTAATCCTTTGTATCTTATGCATTTAAAAACATTTTTCTGGGAGAAGAGCCCACAAATTTCACCAGATTGCCAAAGATATCTATGACCCAAAAAAGGTTAAGAACTGATGTAGTCCAACCCCACCCCCCTCCACCAGTTTACAGATGAAGAAACTAAAGCCCTTGTAAATGACTTGCCCAAGGTCAAATAGGCATTAAGTAACAGAGCTGGAACTCAAATCTGGGTCCTCCGGTTCCATAGCCAGAACCCTTCCCATTGTACCCACAGCCTGTCTATCCCTGGGTGGGAAAAACTTAGAATTATATGCCTACCCGCTCCTTAGTAGGGTTCTGGTGCATTGGAGCAGGAGTTATATTTCTCGGCTTCCCTTCCTAACGCCATCACTGTTTGTTCATATTGGCCAGCTCATCTCTCTCTGCCCCATTTTCTTCTGTCAATTGAATATGAACCTTCCTATTCCCAACTAGTTGCCTTATGATGTTGAAGATCAATAAGAATATATGTATGAAGTGCTTCAGGGCATTTATAAGAAAAGATCCTTTATATTTTATATATTATATATATGTGTATATGTGTGTGTGTGTAGATATATATATATATATATATATATAGATATGTTTATAAGAGAAGGATTGTACTGCTCAGTATCATTTGTATACTGTATGTGTGGGATCACCTTCCACCCAGGAGTAGGGGGAGTGTTCAAGAACCTCACTTGTGAAGTTTGGAGTTTTGGATGTGCTGGAGACACTCAGGGACTGGCCATTCCTGTTCCTTTATTCCTCATCCCATCCAGGAAGAGAGCAAAAAATTCAGGTTACCTAACAGACCACCAAGGCCAATGAAATTCAGATCATCCTCTTATTCTTTCTTCCCTGTATTTCTGCTTTTCTCCTCATGAGTTTTTCGGTTTTCTGCCCAAGAGAGTCAGTACATGAGGGAGGCGATGACCATGGCCTCAGGGGCACTATAAGGTATGAAGCCTAAGATGTAAGGTGTGAAGAGGAGACCCTTCCCTCTGAGGGACTGCTAAATCCTCAGGACTGCTTTCCTTTACAGATGTAGTATTACAACCAAGACCTGCCCTGACCTGGAGGGCAGTAGGAGGCGTCCTGGACTTCTACGTCTTCCTGGGACCGGAGCCAAAGAGTGTGGTTCAGCAGTACTTGGAAGTCGTTGGTAGGGCTTTCTCTCTAGCTCCCTGTCTTCCCCAGGCCTTTTTATAAAAGCCCGATAGGAATAGTCATTGAGAGTCCTCCGTCTTACCCCAGCACAGATCAACATCAGGAGACTCCAGGTAGATGGGAGGTTCCCGTATCTATAAGAGTTCCAACGCTGGGCATGGGGTATTTTTAGTTCCTTGATTATGTTGCATCCAGTAGGCTGCAAAAACAGGGTTCTTGGAGTGACTGCTAGCTCTCTGACTACCAGTAATCATCAAGGGCAAAGGGAAACTTGGTCTTTCGGGGGTTCATTCAGCATAACTTGAGGAGTCTAGGTTGTTGTTTTCTTATTACGCTTCCACCCCTTTACTTGATTTTGTGTTCTAAGGACAAGACACTCCTGTGCTCACCTCAGTTGAGATGTTGCCTCAGATGAGGCAATAGGCTCATACAGTGTTCAAGCTGATAACACAGTGCAGAGTGGAAAGACATGGAGGAGAAGTCTTCAGTCCCCTGCTCCTCTTTCCTTTCTGTCTACTGCACCACCTAGCTGCCTGCCCAGATTCAGTGAAGTTTTGCTGTTGGTTTACAGGATACCCATTTATGCCACCTTATTGGGGCCTGGGCTTCCACCTGTGCCGATGGGGCTACTCCTCCACCACTGTCACTCGACAGGTGGTAAAGAACATGACAGCAGCTAACTTTCCCCTAGTAAGTCTTCTGTTGGGTCCCCATGGATGTCTTGGGGTAGAAGGAAATGATAAAGAATCCATAGGAACTCCAAAGGTAGGCTGCTGGTGGTAGAGGTAATGCAGGACGGGGAAATTGTTTCACTAGCACCCCCAGCAAACTGGACCGCCACAATTTTGCCGTAGGATGTTCAGTGGAATGACATAGATTACATGGATGCCAGGAGGGACTTCACTTTCAACAAGGACAACTTCTCGGACTATTCAGCCATGGTGCAGGAGTTTCATCAGAGTGGCCGGCGGTACATCATGATTGTGGTGAGTTCTCTCTCTTCTCCTCATATAACCTCCCTTCCTTCCCCCCACCCCTCAGTGCCTCATCCTCAGCACTTAGACCTCCACATCCTTCCTAATCATCCCCTTTAAGAAAGGGAAATGCCCAGGTTTCTAGTTTCTCTTTCTTACCATTTCATCATCATCACTGAGTCATTTATTAAACATAAGAGCATAGCTATAGAGCTGGAAAAGTTCTTAGAGGTCATTTAGTTCAACCTCTTCATTTTACAGATAGGGAAATTTGAGGACTAGAGTGTTTAAGTGATTTGCCTAATGTCATCGTCTTTAATACCCAGATATTATAAAATAGAACTGGAATTCAAACCCAGGTCTCCCAAATTCAACACTTTTCCCACTGTTACATGTCCTTTTAGATGTTGTATACCACAATTCAGAGATACATTGTTCCAGCCCTCTTCCTTAAATCATCTTTAGAGTATTAATTCCTCAAAGGCAGAGGCTATAACTCTGTACCATGCCTAGCACTACCTTGCAGAGATATTCAGAAATCTGCAAACCCTTACAGAACTCATCTAGTTCTTCCCACGATCACAGTAACCATAGATCTGAGAATGGAGAACCACAGTAAATTTAAAGAAATGTAGTACAGGCATGCCTCACTTAAGCAAAAATGCCTGATTAAAAATTGGTGGTGATTCTTCATTTTGTGAATTAGTTAGAAATTTTATTATAGTATTCTTTTTCTTTTTTTTTTCAGCCAAAGACAAGGTTTATTAGAACATCTGTCATATTGGGCAGACTATTAAGGAGTCTGAACTTTAGTGAGCTATTGGCTAGATTGTAAAAATCTGAGCATCTTAATGGAGACAAGATGGACCTTATATACAGAAAGACCATGGGAGGGATCTAGGAGTGGCCAAGTAGTTTGGGGTGAACAGGCCAAGGGAAATGGAGTCTAGATAGGATTTAAGGGTAGGAAGTGGCTGGGGGCCATCTGGAGGTAATAGACAATGGAGGGCTAGGTAAACAGAATTGGGAGATTGGGCTTAGGTGATAATAAAAGGCCAGTTGATAGGATTATAGCTTCAGGTGAACACCAGAGATTTGGCCATGTGGGAAAGTCCAGGGTTTTTCCTTTTTGGGGTCCAGATCCCATCCTCACCATTCGCCCCTCAAACAAATGGGACCCAAATTCTTTTGGGGTAAGAGGCAAAGGTCTTGACTTCTGAAACTGCTTCCTGCTGGCAAGAGGTGAAGAGCTGTCCTTGCCTCGAGGGGGTCCCAAAGAGGAGGTTGACAGGAACTGAGCGCAGGCTGCATCCAGGGAATGATGGGGGGACATTGGCTGGTACCCTCTGTTTGCTATCAACTCTAGGTGAATGACCTGTAGTCTAGAAGACACAAATCTGACAGAAAAGACTGCAGGGCCCAAATGACAGGATAAAACATCCTTAGCTCTGTTTGAATTCAAATAATTCAGTTTTCCAACTATACTGTATCAAATCCACCTCATAGCCAGACTCAGGAATAGCCAGGTGGGTAACATTCCTTTTCAAAGGAACATAATGGGGAAACTGAGCCAGGAGGATCCCATCTTAGACTGAGGCTAAAATTATCCTCTCAGCTTTTCCCTATGCTGACTTCCTACCATTATCACATTCTCTCTAAGTAGCTTGTGATATTTCTCTCAGATGGTAGATTATTGATTTATCAATGGATTATTATGATCCGTTAGACAACTCAAAATAAAATCGTGAGCTTTTTTACCTCACACAGCAAGTTTCACTAATCACAGTTTAGGAAAAACTTTTCCAGGATTTACATCTCAAATTTAAATTTGTCCTGGTGTAGAAAGCCAATCATTAGAGATTATTTCTATATACTTGCAAATTCTCAGCAAGACAGAACCCAAACAAGCTTTTTGGCAAGTTTACACATTAAAACAATAACCAAAAACAGCCAAATTATTTTAGTGGTAACCAAATTATGAAAAGTTGCTTGACATAACTGATAGAAAAAGTTTTAATAATTTGAAACTTGAAACAAACCCATTACCAATCAGGTGACTTCAGTTTTGTTAAATGCATTTCCAAATTACTTTACACAGAGAATCAGCATCTCATCATTAACAGCTATAACTCCAACTTTAAAAGAGTATGCTTACCCAAGTTCAGAGGCCAGCTTCTTTACGTTGAGAGGGATGTGCTGAAACTGGGTGATGCTTCCAGGCAAAGGTTGCCCTAGGGCCCAAGGCCATTGCCAGTGGGGCCCATGCTGTAGCTGCTGCCCCTCCAACCTCCTTCCTTTCCCCAGGTGGGGGAGGGTGAAATCAAAGGTGAGGGGGAAAGGGTGAAACTCCCTTCTCCTATGAGAGGGGTAAACAGACAACCTCTTGACTCAAGGGAAGGGAGTGACCAGATTATACAGAGTTTTGAAACACTCCTTAATGATCACAAAACCTCCAGAATCTGCTAAGATATTTTTAGCTGTTATAACTTTTCCCTGTAACCTCCATGAAGGAGGATTCAGGGGTGTAGAGGGAAAGGAGTAAGCCTCAGGGAACCAAAAAATAACTGCAGTTTTCCCAATTCCCTAACGCCAAGAGAATTGACAGAATAAGGCGTATGCTTCTAGCTAGGGCATCTGTCCTTGTCCTCTATGCTGCGGAAAGTGTACCCAGGTCCATAGCCTCGAACTGACCCAGTGGACCGAGAACCTGGGAGCGTCATGCCAAGTGCAAAACAACCTGTAACTCTCTGCCCAAAAAGCACGTCCAAGCCTTGGTGCTTGGAGAGTGACCCCAACTGCAGAGGAAGTAAGTGGGGGAGGCTTACATACCTTCGAGGCTTGGCTGGAGAAGAACTTGGGGTTAGGCAGTTTCCCCCTCTGGGTCACCAAAATGTTGAGGTTTAGGTGGTTAGTGGTGCTGGGGCTCCAAAATCACAACACACGGGTCCTGCCCAAAAGAATTCGACCAAAGCCTTCTTTTAGCCAAAGATAAGATTTGTTAGAATATATGTCATATTGGGCAGACTCTTAAGGAGTCTCAGCATTAATGAGGTATTGGCTAGATTGTAAAAATCTGAGCAGTGGTTAGATTATAAGAATCTGATCCTATAGTGTTCTTTTTCAATAGCAATCTATTCCCTGTGAAACTATTTCAAGCCTTTTAACTAAAGTAAAAAATAATTGTACTTTAGCAACTATATACTAAGGAAATAACTCTAGAAGATAAAACATAATTTAGACAAAAGTGCAAATAGTACCTCTGTTTCCAATGGCAGAAAATTGGAAACAACCCAGATGTCCAACGTTAGAGAAAATGGATAAGCAAAGACTATAGTATATTTTCACGATAGATTCACACGTGACTTTAAAATGCCAAGTTATATAAATTGTGTTGATACATGGTAATATTAACTGAAAAAGGACACAAATAGCATGCAGACACTAATTATGACTATTTATTAATGCATTTTTACGTATTAACTAAAACCAGGAGAGGAGTCAGAGAATCATAGAATTTCAGTGTTGGAAAGGACCATAGAGATAATCTGTTCCAATCCCTCCAGTTTTTCTCTTGACAGAGGAGGAAATAGAAGTCAGTGTTCTTAGGGGTACTTTCTTGCATGTGAAGCTGATTAAGCTCATAATGGTTTTATAATCAAGCTTTCCTATTCTTTAAATATTATTTGAATTACAGTATCTTGACTTTACACATAACTTTTCAGGAAGTTGTCTGTGGTGTAAGTGAAGTATGTGTATGCCTGTAATATAACTTTTGATTATCTAGAGTCCAGGGGTGGGGAACCTGTGGCCTTCAAGCCACATGTGGCTCTCCAGGCCTTCACGTGTAGCTCTTTGTCTGAATCCAAACTTCACAGAACAAATAAGAAGTTTTATCCTAGAGGGCCACATGTGGTCTTGAGGCTACAAGTTCCCCACCCCTGGTCTAGACTGATGAAATCTCTGATCTCTCCAAAACCTCATGTTAGTAAATCATTTCAGCCTTTTCATACCACTAAGCTTTTTATCAGAGTATCTCACTTGGATCAACATGAACTCTTCTCTTTCTTCCTTTCTAATGGAGAATGAGTAATGGAGAAAAAGAATTTTTTAAAGCACTGGAGATATAGCTCTGAATACCATCACTCTCCCCTTAATTGCCTTCTACCCCTAGGTTACCTTGGGCTGTTACTGGTGGCCCAATCACAATTTGTTGACGGAGCAGTACAACTGATCATGGGTCACCCAGAGCCTAGAATCTCAACACTGGCCTGATGTCAAGGGCCTTGGGTTCTGGCTTTGGCTATTATAGTTGGAATTACATCTCTGCTTCAGACCTCAGATTTCTCATTATGATTATAGCTAATTTGCTCTCTCTGGTCAGGAGGAACAAGCAAGATAGCACAATGGAGAAAGTGCTAGATTTGGAGTCACTAAGACTGAGAGGTTCACATCCTATTATTAGCTGTGTGACTCTGAGCAAGTCATTTTCACTTTCTTGTTCAGTTTTCTCATATGTAAAATGGGAGTAATTAGGGTTGTTGTAGAGATTAAATGAAAAGGCCTCTTATAGTACCAACCACTATTAATAAGCTCCACTGGTGTTTGAATAAATGCATCATACCTTAGATGACTACTTGAGAAGAATGTGATCTTTCAGATACCTTGGGACTGGGAGGCAAGTCATGGTGTTGAGTCCCCCTGAGTTCTGATTTAAAGGCTGTTTCAAAAGGGAGAGGAAGAGGTTTGGAGAGACCAGTTCACCAACATGAAGCCTTCTGACTGTTCTCCATCACATCCATATGAAATGAGCTACCCTCTTTCTATCTCCATCAGGATCCAGCTATCAGCAGCTCTGGTCCTCCTGGGAGCTACAGACCCTATGATGAAGGCCTGAAGAGAGGAGTGTTCATCACCAATGAGATGGGCCAGCCTCTGATTGGGAAGGTGAAGGCTGGAATGGGGGCAGCAGTGGGGTAGAACATGGGGTCATTGGGAAGGTCAAGAACAAGGTCGATAGGAAGGGGTGTGGTGGTATAAAAAGAAGACTAGAATATTTAGATGTTAATACATATAGTGATACAATATGGAAATCTGAGTTGTAACCTGTATTTACCAAACAACCCTGGTCAGGGGATCCATTTCTTGGAAGGGCACAGATTTGGAGAGAAAACTATTAAGTCCAGGCCCAGAGATTGAACTTTTATCTGTGCTGCACGTGTGGAGTGAATAACTTGCCCTCTCTGGACCCATAGTACCTTGTTTGATGTTACTTTGTCTCTTCCTATAAAAGGACTCTATGCAGCCCTTTAAAGATGTCAGGTCAAGCAGTCAAGTGAACTACCACATTCAGGATAAATTGCAAGCCAAGGTACACAGTGGGTGAAGTTACTTCATGAGAAGTGCAGAATCTGGGACAACTTGCCTGTAGTCTGGATTCCCAGTTCAGATGTCTAGACAACTTCAAAGCAGTCTGTACAGGCAGTGGATAGAGTTCAGGGCTTGGGTCAGAAAGACCTGAGTTCAAATCCTGATTTAGGCACTTGCTGTATGACCCTGGGTGAATCTCTTAACTGCTCCCTGCCTCAATTTCCTCATCTGTAAAATGGGACAACAATAGTACTTACCTCATAGGGTTGTTGTGAGGATCAAATTAAATAAGATAGCATACAAAGAGCTTCACAAGCCTTAAAGTACTAAATACATAATAGCTATTGTTATATCATCCCTTGTGACATGCAGTCATTCATTCAATGAATACTTATTGAGCTCTTCTTATATGGGAGGCACTGTGGCAGATGCTGTTGAGGATATAAGAAGAATAAAGTCCCTGCCTGGGCTGGTATGAGTAACATGGTGCTGTTTAAAGGGGTTGGGGCTTTTCTTCATGAGGCTGGAGGCTGAGCGGTTTTGTGCTGACTTAGATATTGCCTGTGAACGAAGTACTGAGGCTCCTTCTAAACAAGATGCAGTTGAAGACTTGGGGGCCTGACTTCACTCAAAGGAGCTAAGGCTTAGAGCACCTCCCATTTTCTCTATCTCCTCTGCTTTCCAGGTGTGGCCTGGGGAAACTGCTTTCCCTGATTTCACCAACCCCCATACCCAGGACTGGTGGTATGACATGGTGGAGGAGTTTCACACTCAAATACCGTTTGATGGCATGTGGATTGTAAGTGGCATGACCTTTTCTCCTTTTCCACCCCCTTCATTGCTCTCAACTGCTAATTGCTTTAGTGTCTGCATTAGTTAACCCTGCCCAACACACCCCCTGACCCTCCCCACTATCTCCCCATTCCTGGGTAGCTGTTGTAGTGCTTCCTAAAGTTGTTCTTTCTTTCCAGGACATGAACGAGCCCTCTAACTTTGTAACAGGCTCTGTGGAAGGTTGCCCCAACAATGATCTAGAAAATCCTCCCTATGTGCCAGGTAATTATCTTCCCTCTCTGCCCCAGCTGGGGATCCTTAGATACTCAGGCCCTATCCATCTGGCAGATTGTTGTTGTTTGGTCATTTCAGTCATGTTGACTCTTATCCACTGCCCCACCCAACTGCAAACTGAGGTTAACCAACGTTGGATAACCTGGGTAATTGTAGAGAATAGTCTGAGTGAGTGAGGCACAAGAGGTGGAGAGCTAGGTAAAGGAAGAGCTTTAAACTGCTCATCTACAGAGTGTGTTTTTAGTAGGCATTAATTCCTGAGTAAAGTCATCTAGGTGGCACTAGGCCTGGATTCAGGAAGACCTGAGTTCAAATACAGCCTCAGACTTACTAGCTATGTAACCCTGAGCAAGTCACTTAACCGTGTTTGCCTCTGTTTCCTCATCTGTCAAATGAACTGCAGAAGGAAATGGCAAATTACTCCAGTATCTTTTCCAAGAAAACCCCAAATGGGGTCACAAAGAACTGGATGTGACTGAAACAACTGACCAATAACAGCAAATTCCTAAATAGAAAGAGGACTTGGGCTCAGCTTTTACCAAAACCAAAGGAACCAGGGATAGGTAGTTGGTGGATAGTGTCCAAAGGTGGCAAGAATTTGGACTTACCCCAGTTTGTGAGGTACAGGAAGTATGGAATCCTTTAGCTTTTTCATTGCAGGTGTGATTGGAGGCACCCTCAGGGCAGGAACCATCTGTGCCTCCAGCCATCAATACTTGTCTTCCCACTACAATCTGCACACTCTGTATGGACTGACTGAAGCCATTGCTTCCTATGAGTAAGTGAAACACTAACTCCCAGCCCCCCTACCATCCCCTCTGCTCCTTCCCTGTCCCTTTAATACCATAAGTAGGTGGCCTAGGGTGAAGAGAAGTGGGCAGTGCTGTCTACCCTTCCCCAGTCCCTTGCCTCAGGCTGGAAAGTTCTACCTGCTGGTTCAGCTGGGTTGTCAGGTTGGTTGGAAAAGTGATAGGTCTATTTTTCCTAAAAAGTTGAAAAATGGAACTGCCTGACCATGAGGCCATGAGGTGGGGTGACTCAGTGTTACTCAAGTTAACACATGTAGGAATGTTGTAGAGGATGAATTATGCATGGGATCACAGGTTAGACTGGATCATATCTGTGATCTCTTCTAACTGAACTTAGATATTCCCTACATGTATAGGAAATATCATGTAGGACACTCTTCTCTCTGGGTACAACTAACTTAACCCTAAAAATGCCTGCATTCTGCATGCCATCCCAGTGCCCCTTAGGCTGAGGTTACATGTATTTCTATCAGTGGAGTAGTCCTGAATTTAGAAATGAATTATGGGGGAGAGGTAAGGTAAGGACCCAGCCTGTAACATGCGCTAGAGTTTGGATTTCAGGTATATTGATTCATACTGAGAGTCACAGAGGACGATCCTGGGAATAAATTAGAACCCCAATCTCAAACATGCCTTTCCCTTAACAGTGCCCTGGTGAAGATTCGGGGGAAGCGCCCCTTTGTGATATCTCGATCTACTTTTGCTAGCCATGGCCGTTATGCCGGTCACTGGACAGGAGATGTGTTTAGCAGCTGGGAACAGCTGTACTATTCTGTGCCAGGTAAGGAGCCATGGGACTTTCCTGGGGAGCTCTTGTAAGAGGTTGCCATTAGCCATCCCAACCTCAGGCAATAAATTACCTAGGTAAGCAGTAGAATAAACCATTAGTATTAATTAACAGTATCCTAATGAATTCTCATTATCTTTAGAAAATTGATCATTGTAAAAGGAAATGGCTTTGAGAAATGTGTTTTTGGTGAAAAGACAATACAGCTTTTGCTTCCCTCGATGCATTCCCTAGCAAGTAAAGTTAATTCATTAAAAAGAAAAGGTAGCATCTGTGGTTTAAAAACTCCTAATAATAGACATAGGATCATAGGCTCTTTATATTATAACATTAAAAATTATAGCTAACAAGTATATATCACTTTATGGTTTGTAAAGTACATTACATGATATCTCATTTGATCCTAAGAGCAATCCTATGAGGTAGGTGTTGCTATTATTCCCATTTTACAGATCAGAAAACTAAGGCTGGGAGAGGTTAGGTGACTTACCCAGTGTTTAAGGCAGAATTCAAACTCAGGTTTTCTTATCTCCAAGTCCAATGCCCTAGTTGGTATGATACCTCCAGACTTCTGTATATTTTATAATATACCTTGTAAAGAAGGTTATAAGAACCACAGACTGGGCACTATGGAATGCATTGTTACAGTCCTAGTTTGGCTGTCACAAACACATAGGGTTGTCATGAGATTCCAACAAGGTAATATCTGGAAACTGGGAATCTTCATCTCTGTCTTTCCCTGGATCACCATCTAAGAATCTGGCTGAAATCTCACTTGATTCTTTTAGCTTCTAGTCTGACTTAACACTTCTCTCGGTTTTTCTCTCTCTGTTTGCTGCTTCAGCAGGCAGGTCAGTGGCCCTCAGCTTCCAATATAGCTCTAATTCTGACCCTAAGCTGGCCCGTCCCATAGAGGAGAGAGAACTTCTCCTGTGCTTGCTTTCTACCCCTCCCTCCTTGGGCGCTTGGCTGTCCCCTGCATCAGGGGGTTCTGTTTTGACTCTCAAGAGCCACAGCGCCAGTCTGGCTGGTTTAAGAAAGTCCGGGAAACCAAACCTGGCCAAGAACTCTGTGGAGGTGGTGTGGGTTGGGGCTAACTGAGTCACAAGGTCACCTGTGGACTTCGGTAGAAAAAAATCAAGGTACTGAGATTTCAGACCCCTAGGTTCTAGTTAGTGATTCTCTGTGTGACCTTTGGTAAGTCACTTAACCTCTATTTCATATAGAGCTTCCCTTTCCCACCTTGCACATAGGCACTTGATAAATGTCTCTTGAATTGAGATTTAATTTCTCCCTTTTAACAAGAATAATGGAGGTATGATATGGTGTAATCATAAGAAGAATGGGCCTGGAGCCCAGAGGCCAAGGATTGAGTCCCACCTCAGACTTTACAAGGTTTGTGTAGCCTTCTCTCTGAGCCTCCTTTACGCCATCTGTACAATGGGACAATACTATTTGAACTGCCTCCTCATTGGGGTTTGTGAAGAAAATGCTTTACAAATCTTAAGTTTCTACATACATTTTAGGTGCTATTGTTAAAAGTTTTTAAATGGGAGAGGAATCATAATAATAGGTAGCATTTATGTAGTACTTAAAGGTTTGCAAAGTGCTTTGCAAATATTATCTTATTTGATCCAACAATCTTAGAAGGTGTTGTTATTCCCATTTTACAGATGAAGAAACTGAGACAGAGGTTGTGACTTGCCCAGGGTTATACAGCTAGTAAGTGTCTGAGGTTGGATTTGAACTCAGGTCTTTGTGAATCCAGCTCCAGTAATGTGTGTACTGAGCCACCCAGTGCCTGCTCTACCTACCTCCCAGGGACGTTAAGAGTAATTTAAAAAAAGAGCTAAAAGATATACACGGGTTATATAAATGTTATCCATTATTGTGACAGATTCACAGAATGTTAGATCTAAAAGAGTGATTAAAGCTCATCTGGTCCATATACCTCATTTTACAAATGAGGAAACCAAGTTCCAGACAGATGAAATAATTTGCTCCAAGTCATAGCAATAGTTAATTACTGTTTTAACTAAAATTTTAACTCATGTCTTCTAATGCATAGCCCACTCCTTTGCACTCTGTAATAATCATTTCATAATAAAAGCAAAGAGCTGGAATTCCAGCCTCATCAAAGCATGCGTAAACTTTTCCAGAAGATGTAACTAATAGAGAACTTTGCTCTTTGTTCCAGTCCGTTCCTGGAGATGAGTTATTATAATAGAGCAAACCAAGAGTGGGTTATTGCTGATGGTTCTTCCAAACTATTGCTGCTGGATGAATTCCTAGAAGGAAAGGGATAAGAAATCAATCCTTTTTTCTTAGATGCTTCCTTTCTGTCTATTTCATCTCATTTTTCAACCACAGCTATTGACATACCAGGGCCAGGAAATTGGTATTGCTGCCAGCTCTGTACCCTGTCAGGTTGCTCTTTGCAACTCAACAAATGTTTTTATAATCATTTAGTATGTAAGGGACCCAGAGAATGACCCCACATGGAGTGTGAACTTGGCTCCTGGCCGGGTCTGGTGTCTTGAGTCTGAGGCTCTGCTCCTTCAGTGAAAGGACTAGTGTCGAGATGCATTATGGTTATGGAAGGGTGAAGTTTCGTGTTTTCTTTCTCAGATGCTTTGGTGGAGCAGGATAGAGTACAGCTTCTGCTTCCCTGGGTACTTGGCAGCATTGGAGAGTTGAGGTTTTTTTTTTTCTTAGTTGGTTTGTTGACACAGGGCAGAGTGAATCTCCAAACTGAGTCCCAGCAAAGGCTGGAGGCTCCAAGCCCCTCCCAGGCTGAATAAGTGGCTTTGGTCCTTGGGAAGCAGCATGTTTTACCCGCCTCGCTGTTTTGTGGTAATAGGCAGCCAGAGTGGTTTTGTTTTCTAGATGGTTCAGGACATAGGGCAAAACAGACACAACCTTCAGGAGTAGCAGTAGATTTCAGGGCAACAAGGTCTTTATATCTGGTTCCTGAAAAGCACCAGGACTGGGACAGTGACCTTCACTAGCTGAGTAATGGTGGTCTGCTTCCCTTTCCCCTCTTCCAGCCAGGCAAATGACTTATGTTCTACTGTCATCATCATTATCCTGTGAGACTGGCTTAAGGATTCCACCCAAAACTCCCAGGAGCTTACAACTGGCTCTCTCAGGTTTCTCTTAATATGGAGGTTAGAAAATAGGTAGGCAGCTAGGTAGCACCATAGTGCATAGAGGGCTGGGCCTGGAGTCAGGAAGACTCATCTTTCTGAGTTCAAATCTGGCCTCAGACACTTGTTATCTGTGTGACCCTGGGCAAGTCACTCTGTTTGCCTCTGTGAAATAAACTGGGGAAGGAAATAGCAAATCACTCCAGTATCTTTGTCAAGAAAACCCCAAATGGAATCATGGAGAGTAAGATATGACTGAAATGACTAACCAACAACAAAGAAAATATATACTAACAAGTCCGGGGTCATAGCTTCATATTTACTGTCTATAACCTCAGACTGAATATACCTCCTTCTGACCACCTATCTTACAACAACATCTCATAGTTCACAAGGGAGGCCGGTTAGGACAAAAAATTACTCATGACCCTTCTTTCTTCTGTTCTACTGACTGTAAGTTATCTATCTTCAAAGAATAAGTATCTTATTAGTAATCATTGGGAAGGGGTTGTTGAGAGAGAGGTAGAGGGAATGGAAGGGAGAGAGAGAGATTGAGAAAGAAAGAGATCATACTTTGTCTCTTTTTTGCAGGTCTTAATGAGGATTCATTCACTAGATAAACATTCATTAGGTGCCTACCATGTCTGGGGGTAGGATGGGGGAGGCAGTCTATGATGGGGATCCTTGGAAATAAGTCAGTTCTTCCTTGAACAACTCTGGCACCCTATCTTAGATTTTTTTTTCTCATTCCCTAAAGAGGTGCTACTCTTTAATTTGTATGGGGTACCTTTGGTGGGAGCAGACATCTGTGGCTTCTCGGGCAATACTTCAGAAGAACTGTGTGTGCGATGGACCCAACTGGGGGCCTTTTATCCCTTCATGCGGAACCACAATAACAAATATAACCAGGTAAGGAGGATAAGGGCGTCTAGGTGGCACAGTGGATAGAGTGCTGGACCAGAAGTCAGGAAGACTCATCTTCCTGAGTTCAAATCTGGCCTCAGACACTTACTGGCTGTGTGACCTTGGGCACGTCACTTAACCCTGTTTGCTTCAGTTCCTTATCTGTAAAATAAACTGGAGAAGGAAATGGTGCACCACTCTAATACCTTTGCCAAGAAAAGCCCAAAGAGGATCATGGAGAGTCAGATATGACTGAAAAAGCAGCTGAACAATAAAAGGAGAGTATGGCCTGTGCTGAAAGGCTTTCCTATGCTTTACTCCCTCCATATCTGCCTGAGGCCTGAAAGTATAGTCTGGAGAATCCAAAAGACTTTGGGGTTTGGAAAGAAGGTCCCCCTACTTGGCTAGACATACATGACTCTAGCTTCCCATCTATAGTGGGAGAGTGTGACTGAGCAATAGCATCTGGCAGCCTACTCTAGCTCTGAAAGGAGGATTCTCTGCTGGTGATATTCAGCTTGGAGAAGCTGGAGGAATGTGGGTGGGTGCCGAGTTAATTGTACAATATGACAAGTAAGTAAATGTAACTTGACCACCAGCTCTTCCTGCCTCCAGGGACTCCTCAGGCTGTTTAAGTAACTTGTCTCTGCTTGGTCTGTGACCTCACCCTGATGCATTTCCCCTCCATTGGAGAAGAGCTCTGGGACAGACTGAGAGACGGGTCGGGAGGGTAGTGCCTGCCTCTTACTGCTTCCTCCTTTACAGCCCCAGGAGCCATATGTGTTCAGTGAAGAGGCTCAGCAGGCTATGAGGAGAGCCTTTACCTTGCGCTACGTGCTCCTGCCCTATCTCTATACCCTGTTCTACAAAGCTCATTCTCGTGGAGAGACTGTGGCTCGGCCCCTATTTTTGGAGTAAGTATTCTTGAGCGGGGGAGGGAATAGATTGTGTGTGACCCTGGTTTCAAGGCAGTCCTGCATTCTGGAGCCCTCTTGTCTCATTTTAGGTTCCTTCCTATGTCTAGTAGGGTTGATGGGCATTTTCCAACTCGGCATCACAGCATAGCAAGCAGCTGCTGTAGGTGGCTGTGTTCAAACATGAGTGGTATCACTGACAAGCCATTGAATGAGTGCGAGATGTAATTTAGAAACATTAGGCAGAATCAGTGAAACAGGAAAGCAGAGCTACAGAAAGCAAGGACTTCTCCAATTCCCTTACTCCAGTTCTAAGAATTTAGGTCACCTCCTAGAAACATGTTATCTTGCCCACCTTTTATGTACTGATTGATGCCTTTTGGTTTTTTGGTTTGGTTTTGTTTTTTGTTTTTTTGGCAGGCAGTGGGGTTAAGTGCCTTGCCCAGGGTCATACAGCTAGTAAAGTGTCAAGTGTCTGAGACTGGATTTGAACTCAGGTCCTCCTGACTCTAGGACTGGCGCTCTAGCCACTGCCCCACCTAGCTGTCCCCCTTTTTTTTCTCATTACTTTCATTCCCCAGCATAACTCCCCTGCATCAAACCCTTCTTTGTAACAAAGAAAAAGATTTTTAAAAGCCCACCTGACAAAGCAACTGTGTCTGACACTGCATACACCAGTGCACCTGCTGTCCTTCTACCTCCATCAAGTGGAGGCAACTGTGTTATCTTAAAGACTAAATTGCTCATGGCAATTGGTATGGTACAGTTAACATTTGATTATTGTTTTTGTTTATATTTTTAGAGTCACATATATTTTTTCTTTTCTGCATCAGTTCATATAAGCCTTCAGTTTCCTCATTTTCATTATTTTGGGGGTTTTTTTGTACTTAGCTAGATATAAGATTTAAAAATGTAGCCTGTGACACCCTACCACTGCCATACCTGTAAGCATTTCCCCCTTTCCTCCTACTTTGGACATAGCCTCAGTGCCCCAAAGCTTCCCTTGGCCTACGAGAGTTATTATCCTCTGGACCCTGGGTCTACCTCCTCACCTCTCCTTCCAGTCAGCAAAATACCATGCTGTCACTTTGTCTCAGCCCCCCAAATTTGTGAAATCCTATTTCTGCAATCTCCTTCTTTCAATGCCTTGGTTTTCCTTTACAGGAGAGTTTAAGCTGACTTACCTCAAATTGATTTACTCTTAAACCTGGTATGGTTTTGTAGAAAAAACCTTAGACTAGGAGTCAGGAAATTATGTTCCAACCTGCCACTAACAAGCCAGACACCTGTGGACAACTGTTAGGAGAAATGCCTGACCATTTCTAATGCTATACAGCATCAATGCAACTATCCTAGAGAGTCTAGGAGAAAGATTAGCAAGCATTTCACTAAAAAAAGCTAAAAGATACACAAAGGTCATATAAATGTTATTAATTATTGTGGCAGATTAATAGAATGTTAGATCTGAAAGAGCGATTAAAGCTCATGTGGTCCATATACCTCATTTTACAAATGAGGAAACCAAGTTCCAGACAGATGAAATTATTTGCTCCAAGTCATACCACTAGTTAATTACTGTTTAAACTAAAATTTTAACTCATATTTTCTAATGCGAAGCCTACTCCTTTGTACACAGTAATAATAATTTTATAATAAAAACAAGATAGGGTGCCCGAGTTGTTCAAGGGAAGAACTGATTCATTCCCAAGGATCCCCATTGTAGACTGTCTCCCCTACCCTGCCCCTGTTTGAGACCAAGTTTCCTCATTTGTAAAATATGGGTATCATGTGCTACCTAGTGAGCAAAGCCCATAGCTTCCCTGGCTCCTGCAGTACTTCTCTTCCCCAGTACACCAATTAGACCTGTTGTTTTTATAGATTTCCCTTGGACCAAAACACCTGGACACTGGACCGACAGTTCCTGTGGGGGGAAGCTCTCCTCATTACCCCAGTACTTGAAGGTGGGAAGATCGAAGTGAATGGCTACTTTCCCTCAGGCACCTGGTACCCACTTTTGGAGGTGAGTCTGTTACCTTTAAAACTTGTATAGTTCCTATGGGCATTTCAGAGAGTCTCCCTAGCCTCACTCACAACTCAGGAAGATGGACAGTGGAGTCCCTGAAAGGATGAGTTATTAGCATTTTCCTCTACTTCAGGAAAGACCTTATTCCTTTGTGCCCCATCACTGAAGTCTTGACCTGGAAAACTATGGTAAACATACTTCCAGTAGAAGGCATTGTGCTCACATCCCATTCTAGATTTAGACTCTGTGCACTTTGTCTTTCCCCTCAGAGGCAGGGAGAGAATCAGATAGAGGTAGGGACTTTGTCAGTGTGTAAGCCCCTTGTTGACTTAATCTCTGTCTTCCCAGGTACCAATGGAGCCCCTTAATGACCTGTCTCCTTTGTCTCCTCCTCTCCATGGCTCAGTCATCCATAGCAAAGGGCAGTGGTTCACCCTGCCTGCACCACTGGAAGTGATCAACGTTCACCTCCGGGCTGGATATATCCTTCCACTGCAGGTACAAAAGGGGTTCTAAGTGGTTTGATCTCTTTACCACCAGGACTGCTATGAAATCCCTTTCCGTTTCCACCTTGCCCAAGAAATTGAACTAGAAATTGTGTTCAGCTGATGGTGTTTCCCCTATTCCCTCATCCCCTGATGGTGTTGGGACTCATATCTTTCCCATAATCTCAAGATGATTTCACTGTTGGAAGGTTTCATGGCCAATCCAAGATAGGACTAGACCATAGGGCAGTTAGTCATTTGCCTGATAGCCTGTAGGAGGACCTGTATAGTTTTGTATTTTTCTGGGGGTGTGGGGGTGGGAGAAGGAAGGAATCAGTAGGAACTTGAGTCCTTGGAAGCTACACATACTGACCTGATAAAGTCTTCCCAGCCTGCTTTGTGGGAAGTATGGATAGGACCTAGAGGCAGGGGTGAGAGCAGTCTTGAGACTTAATAAAAAAAAAATCAATAATTTTTAAAGTATCTACGATTTGCCAGGCAGGCATTATGCATATCCAACTCTGCCAGTATCTCAGAATGGAAAAGGACCTCAGAAGCCATCTAGTCTAACCCATAACTGAGGCAAGAATTCTCTCTATAATAATCCAGTCTTCCCCTGAAGATAGTTAAGTAGAACCCACTGCTTCCCAAGGCATCCAGTTCTACTTTGAGACAGCAGCTATACTTGTTAGAAATGTTGTCCTTAGATTGCTATCCTTCTGCCCATTGCTCCTGGTTAGGCTTTTTGGGGTCAAGTAGAACTGGGATCCCCAGTCTTGCATGTCCTCTAGGTTTCCCCTGTTAGGTCCTGGTATATTGCAGTCCCAGGCATCTCATGAAGTGTCCCTCTCCTGTTTCCTGTAACTAGGATCCTGGCCTCACCACCACAGAGTCCCGCAATAAACCGATGACCTTGATTGTGGCCTTAACTCCAAGTGGCATGGCCCAAGGGGAGCTGTTCTGGGATGATGGGGAGACCCTCGGTACACTGGAATGGGGTCACTATACCCAAATCATGTTCGTGGCTTACAATGTGAGTGAGTCCTTGCAGCTGAGATCAGGCAGTTGCAGAAGTAGAGGCTGGGAGTTGGGGGGAGAGGTGCTAGTCTCAAATCTAGAACATGGAATTGATTGACCAGGTGTGATTATGTATTATGTGATTTTGGAATTGTGTATTATGTGATTATGGAATTGATTGACCAGGTGTGATTATGTATTATGTGATTATGTATCAGAAGAGGGTACCCATCCAGGTGTCTGGAATTAGGCTTCTTGTTTAATAGAGAAGGTTTACCCTAAAGGGAAATGGAACCTATTTCTAAAGGACTGTCAATAGACCTGTCCTTTTCTAAGAAGAAGAGGAAGCATCAAAGACCTGGGATACTTGACTTTGTGGTCGAACATTTTGGAGATTTGCCCCACCATCTTGATTGAGATTATACTTTACCAACCATCTCCCCGACAACAGCCAGGTGAGGTCCAAGCAAGCATCATGCCCTGCCCCCAGGAGGCTAAGTGATTTCCCCATTGTCACTAGGAAGTGGTGAATCTTAGTTTTGACTCCATAAGTCCCTGGTTACAACCATCTCCCCTTAACATCAATGCTTTTATCTTCCTCTTGCTTGAAACAGAATGTCATTCTGAATGACCTGGTACAAGTGACCAGTGAGGGCACCAGCCTGAAATTGAGAAAAGTGACTGTCTTAGGTGTGCCCAGCAGCCCCCATCAGGTTGTCTCCAATGGTGTCCCAGTCTTCAACTTTTCCTACGATGCTGATAACAAGGCAAGAAAATTAAGAGTCCAAGTAGTAATGGTAAAAAGAGTCCTTGTGGAGGGGTTGGTTTCCGAGGGTTGAAGAAAATCTTATAAATATTCTCAGAATTCCATCAGAACGTGAAGAGAGAGGATAAATATGAAGAGAGCTGAAAATTGTTATCCTTGATACCTACCCTTAGAAACTCTTGCTAAGCTAGGCCTGTGAAAGCTTTAAAACTTCATCAAATGGGCAACCAAGAAATCCTGTAGTCATTATTGTGCATTGGGCAAACATTTAACTTGCATCTTTAGTCCCTAGGGTGGGGAGTGAAGGAAATATGGCCTTCATATCTCAAGGCCTATTTTTAGTGAATTGCTTGCTAATCTTTCTCCTAGACTCTCTAGGATAGTGGCATTGATGCTGTATAGCATTAGAAATGGTTAGCATCTTATTTTACTGCTTTAAAAATAAGTAACAATGACAAATTCTTAGAGAGAGGCATATTAGCATAGTGATTTGAAAGCTGACCTTGAAAATCTGGAAGACCTGGGTAGAAATTCCATGTCTGACACATACTGGCTGTGTGACCCTGGGTACTTAACTTCTTGGTGGCCTAGGTTACTCAGAGACCACAGAGTGGCAGAAAAAGTGCTAATCTGCATTTACTCACCAAGAACCCCCATACTTCTGAAATCACAGGTCTGTTTTTTTTTTAAGTCCCCTATAGGGAGAAGTGGTATCCTTTTGAACTGATAAGTAAACTGAGGCAGTGTGGTAACTGGGAAGTTTGGGTTCTTATCCCACCTTCTAAATAGCCTTATATATGGACCCGAATTATCTGTCTTTATCAGAAAGGGTCTGAAGCAAAAAGAGTATTGAGTATTGTTGTTCTTAGTTGCTATGTAAAGATTCCTTGTTTCCGAGCTTGGTTTTTTTATGCTTTTTTCAGATCCTGGACATCCCTGTGTCTTTGTCGGTGGGGGAACAGTTTCTCATCAGCTGGTCCTAACTAGAGGGACACAGGTCTGTTTAATCTTTTACCTTTTTGGAGGGAGAAGAAAACTCATAAAGAAATCCTTTCTCTAACTGGTTCAATAGATGTCCTGACCTTGGGTGTTTGTGTTTCTACTTAGGGTGATAAGGCAGGTTACTCTAGATTTGAAGGCCAGCTTAGCCTTTTGATGATGATTCAGATGTCTTTCTTTTTTAAATTAATGTTTTTCAATTAAAAAGCATTTATTTTCTTTCCCTTCTACCTCACTGAAGAAGAAAGAAGGAAAAGAAAGCCCTTGTAATGAAAATGCTTAGTTAAGCAAAGCGAATTCCCACATTGGCCATGTCCAAAGTGTCTCTCATTCTGCATAAACAGTCCGTCATCTCTCTATGTGGCAGTGGGTAGCATTTTTCAGCATCCCTTCTCTGTGTGGATGTTTTTCTACTTTGTGATGGCTTACTACCCTGACCCTGAGTTTTACTTTTTGACACTGTTTGCCTTGGAGAGTAAAGAATCGCCCACGTATAACTAAAGACCTTACCCTGCACAGATATTACTGACATGACATAAACAGTTAAGCAGATTTCAATGAGCAGGGAAGGCAGTACTCTAAGACTGCATGTTTTAATCTTCAGTCTGAGGTGGTGCTAGAAGGTTAGCCATGACATATGCTAAAAGGTGTAAGTTGAATGGGTATTCCTTTTGACAACTTCTGTCTAGTCTTAAAGAGATCATGACAGTCATGGAATCTGGTCACTGTGGTTGTGGCTCTTCTAGCTGTTTGTTGGGCTTTAAACAGATGGCTCTAAACAGATGCTTGGTGCTATCCAGTCCGTGGAGCTCAGGGAATTCAGGCTAATTTCTAGAATAATGGTAATCAATTGTCTTGAAATTCAGTGTTTCTAATAAAAGATATTTTGAATCAAATTGCTGCTGCTGCCGTTTGTGACTGAGAGAAGGGAAATTTTATCCTAGTGTTATTAGCTGTTTCAAACCTACTATGTGTGAAGTATAATGTTAACTGGATCAATCATTCAAAAAGCGGTAGGTCTTTTCTAACATGTGCTTATTCAGCAAACAGCAAAAGTGCTACTATTTGCAAGACTGCCAAGCTCTGAGGATACAAAGATAAAAAAAAATAACAGGCAGCCCCTACCCTCACGGAGCTTGTCATCTACCAGGGAAAATATGACATGCATATAGATAAACATGAAGGAGGCAACCCAGACTGACTATCTCAGAGCAGCCTTGATAATTAGAACCAATATGACAAGTATGTTTTTATGAAATCACAAAGACATTTATGAGGAAAAATGTGTTAGAACATAAAACAGATGTCACTGTTTTAGAACATAAACATAAAAGCTACAAAATGTTATAGACCCCTTGACATTTTTACATTATTGCTTAATCCATTCCCTCGTTAAATGCATAAACATCTAAAGCTTTGCCAAGTGAAATTGGAGCAGTGCTCAAAGCAATCTGATTATTTCTCTGTGTTTAAACAAGTGAAACATGTTGGTTTCCGTAACTACGACTTGTCTGGTTTTTGACAAGTAGAAGAATATAGGATTGTTGTTGTTGTTCAGTCGTGTCCAACTCTTTGTGACTCCATTTAGGGTTTTCTTGGCAAATACACTGGGGTGATTTCTCATTTCCTTCTCCAGTTCATTTTACAGATGAGGAAACTGAGGCAAATAGGGTTAAGTGACTTGCCCAGGGTCACACAGCCAGTAAGTATCTAAGGCTGAATTTGAACTCAGGAAGATGAGCCTTTCTGACTCCAGACCCAGTGCTCTCTTTACTGCGCCACCTACCTTCTCCCTCTAATATTAGGGGACTTTAGTATTTATAAAGATGCTCCCTCAAATTCCCTGACCTCCCAATTCCCTAGACATCCCGCAACCTATTCTTTGCTTCACCTTGGCCATATGTAGGGATAGACACACTAGATCTCACTGTTACCCCCAAGTGTTCCATTTCCCTAAATGGAAACTGTAACATTCCTCCATCTGATCATAACTTCCTATCATTTAATTTCTTCTAATCTTACTCTTTTTAAATGATTTTTTTGAATTATCTAGCATTTTTTCTCCTTTTCACCTTCCCTTACTAGAAAAAAAAGGAGGAAAGAGAGAAAAGGAGAAAGGAAGGAGGAAGAAAGGAAACTAAACCCAACCCTTGTATCATATATGTGTAGTCAAGCAAGAAAAAAAAAATTCCACATTGGTCATGTCCAGAAATGTATTTCCTATTCTGCACATTAATCTATCATCTCTCTGTCATGAAGTGAGCAGTGTTCTTCATCACAGTTTTCTGGGATCATGGTTGACTATTTAGTTGATCCGAATTCATAAGTAAATTTTTACCCTCATCAAGATCTACAGCCCCTCCCGTAATACTCCTAATTAGCTCTACTCTCCAATATTAACCCAATAGTTAGCTATTTCAACTCGACATTGTCCTTTTCTCTGGAAGCCTTTGCTGGTTCTTCCTATTATGACTTATTTCTTGCCAAACCTCAGCCGTGGATTACTCCTAACGTCTGTCCACCTTTTCCACTCTTACTCATAAGCTGCTGAATACAAAGGAAGCCACACAACTGTGCTGACTGAGCACATTACAGATGCATGTTACCCACCTCTCTTGGGCCCTGATTGCAGCAGGGTATTCCTTTTATTCTTCCCTAATTGATTCCCAACCTCTTCTTCCTTCCTCCTTCCTCAAGTCTCCCACATTTCCCCAAATCTCCCCAAGTGCCTCTCAGCTGAGAACCTTGCCTTTTACCACACAGAAAATTGAGACCATTCAATATGAGCCCCCTCTTCTCCCATTCTTTTCATTTCAAAACTCCTTGACATCATCTTTCCAAAACTTTTACCTCCTTCTCCTATCCTCTGACAAAGAAATGGCCTTTGTCCTTGCCAAGACTAACTCCTTTAAATATGCTGTTGGTCCCACTCTCTCTCATCCGGTCCAGGAGGTTTCTTAGGTGGTGCAGTGGATAGAATGTCAGCCCTAACGTCAGGATGTTTCCTCTTCCTGAGTTCAAGTCTGGCTTAGACAATTAATAGCTGTGCGACCCTGGGCAAATCACCTAACCCTTTTTGTCTCAGTTTCTCATCTGTAAAATGAGCTGGAGAAAGGAATGGCAAACCACTGCAGTATCTGCTAAGAAAACCCCAAATGGGGTCATGGGGAGTCAGGGATGAATGACAACAGGTTTCATTCTTAGTCATTGCTTTTCTCTTCAGCTTCTCTATCTCATCGTGCCTTCCTGATTGCCTTCGAACATGCCCAAGTCTCCTTATCCTTAAAAACAAAAAATCTTCAATACACTTATCATCTCCTTAAGCCATTGTCCTTCCTCCTCTTTCTTCTAGCCAAACTCATAGAAAAAGCTGTCTACTCTTGCTGCATCTGCTTCCTGTCACTCATATTTGAAATCTTGCCTCTGATCTTATCCCTCACTTTCTCAAAAGTCACTAATGATCTCTTAATTGCCAAATCTGATAGTCTTGACATATCTGCTGCATTTAATACTATTGACCACCTTCTCCTCCTGGATACTCTTTCTCCCCTAGATTTTCCTGACACTACTCTCTTCTGGTTCTCATCACACCTGTTTGGCCGGTCCTTCTCTGGCCCCTCTGCTGGCTTATCGTCTAAATCATGCCCCTAACTGGGGGCCTTCCCCAAAGTTCTGTCCGTAGGCCCCCTTCTTTTCTCCCTCTGTTGGCTCTCTTGGGATCCTCTATATATCCAGACCCTGCAGTTCTCTGAGCTCCTGTCCCACATTAACCACAGCTTATTGGACATTTCAAACTAGATATCCCAGAGGTGCTCAACCTCAACATGTCCAAAACTGAACACATTTTCTTTCCACCTACATTTCCCCTTTGCCAAATTTCCCCATTTCTCTCAGTTACCGTTTTTCTAGTCAAGCAAGTTCATTTTAGCATTGTCCTGGATTCCTTACTCTCCCTCAACCCACATATCTAATCTAAATCTTGCTGTTTTTACCTTCACCATATTTCTTTTTTTGGGAGGCAGTCGGGGTTAAATGACTTGCCTAGGGTCACACAGCTAGTAAGTATCATGTGTCTGAGGCCGGATTTGAACCCAAGCATTCCTGACTCCAGGGCTGGTGCTCTATCCACTGTGCCACCTAGCTGCCCCCACCATATGTCTTTCATCTGACCTTTTCTCGCCCCTCACACAACTACCACCTTGGTTCAGGCCCTCATCACCTTCCACCTAGATTATTGGCAATAGCCTCCTAATTCTTCTCCCTGCTTTGTGTCTCTCCCCCACTCCAGTCCATTCTACATTGCTGGCAAAATAATTTTCCTCAAGCACAGACCATGTGACTCCTCAACCCACTCCAGTGGCTTCCTTTTTTTTTTTTTTTTTTTTTGGTGAGGCAATTGGGATTAAGTGACTCGCCCAGAGTCACACAGCTAGTGAGTGTTATATGTCTGAGGCTGGATTTGAACTCAGGTCCTCCTGACTCCAAGGGCCAGTGCTCTCTCCACTGTGCTACCTACCTGCCCCAGTGGCTTCCTGTTGCCTATAAGACAGAATATAAAGTTCTCTTTGTAGCTCTCAAAACACTTCTCAAGATGACCCTAACCTATTTTTTCAGCCTCATTGAATATTACTCCCCTTCCCCAAATTCTTTGATCTAGCTAAACTGGCCTTCTCTCCCTTTCTCACATAAGATACTCCATCTTCTGTCCTCATGTCTGTGCCGTGGCTATTCCACATACTTAGAATGCAATCTCTCCTTTACTACTACCTTATAAATTTTTCTTTAAGTATAATCTTCTGCAGGAAATCTTTCCTGTTTCCCTCAACAGCTAGTGCCCTCCTTCCCAAAGTACTATGTATTTAACTATTTTGTATGTATCTATATTTATTCACTTTACATTTATGTGATATATCTTTATATATGTACTTGTCTCTCCCATTGTCAGCTCCTTTTGAGTCATGATTGTTTCCTTCTTTATACTTGTATCTAGGGGTGTGCTGGTAAGTGTTTAGTAACCAACTATCTGAAAAAAAAATTGTACACAAAAAGCACTTTTAAGTTTAATCTTCATTATTAACACTTTCTCCATCACTTGCTTAAGTTTAGATAATCAACGAAACAATTTACTTAGGTCTAATTCACATGAAAATCAAGACATCACCCCTATGATGTGACTGGTCCTCTTCAAGAACTAAGGACAAACAACTAATCAAGCCCTGATTTGTAGCGTGTGCCTATTTCTGAGGTGCAAATGTTCGTACTGAAATTAACAATCATGTCTCTCAAGCCAGTAAAGCTAGCTCCAGTATACTTTGCTTATATTTCCAGTGATTAGCACATTATCTGGCACATGGAAAGTACTTAATAAATGCTTGTTGGCTGATTGATTATCCTGTTGCCAATGAGGAGCTCTTGAATATTCAGAAATATTTCTATTAATACATTTTGTATTGACAAAATCATTCCCTCCAAGAAGTACTAACAGTCCTTTCACAAAGTACATGCCCTGAAAATAGTAAGGCACAATCATAAAAGTGATAATTCATAATACATGTCACTTTCCACTTTTATAGTTTACCCCCAGTAAAGAGAAAGATGTGTGCTTTAACTTTAATCATTTAACACTGTCAAAGAAAAAAAGATTAATACTGTACTCTGCAACATGGGCACACAAACTTGCCAGAAAACCATTTTTTCTTAATTTATCATTCTACCGATCCAAGCATTTTTCTGAGTTAGTGGGAGAAATGTCCAAACACTCATGCCCTTGGACATCTCTCTAACAGCGAGTGGGTATACAAGAGGCTTGAGAGGATGATCTCTCATTCTTTTCCCTGTTGACTTGCAAGTGAGAAGGACTGTTTTGAGATGCAAAGTTGAGGAAATACTGGCAGCTTCTCCCCACCTGCTGATGGTGCTTCTATTTCTTTTGTGTTTATTCTTTCCTGAACTTAGGTGAATGAGTTTTCTGAGACGGGAGTGCCTAGGCAACCAGTAAGACCTGAAGACCCAGCAAAGCCATCAGAAAAGGCCTGGCAGTAGCAATGGCGAAGTTAGTGAGAAGCCAGTGCAGCAGCTGAGAACTGATAGACCCTGTCTATCAGTAGACTGACCTACAAGCTGATGCCACACCCTCCATGGATGCAGAGGGATTGCCAACGCCTTTACTACAAAGCAAACTTGGTATGGGCTAAAAATGGGAGAAAAGAACTCCCAGGGTCAGGAGTATCATGGTAACCCTCAGCTTTGTGTGTTCCCTGCATGTGTGCCTCACTTCTATTGTGCTTTTCATTTTGTACCTATTCCTCTTACAGACCACGTGAATGCAGAGGGTCAGTGTACCCCTTGTTTGGAATGATGTTTTCTAATTTTGGGCCTTGTTATACCTTCTCAGTAATCACCCTTTTGTAAAAGCTAATTGCTATCAATTGGTTAATTGATATTGGGGGACACACTGGATCAGGGCTTATTGAACAATTGCTATTACTACTCTATTAAATTTAATAAATTTAAATTAAATCTATATTTCTCTTAAAACACCAGTCTCTCGGGCTACTCCCTGGAACTCTAAGGGGAAAAGCAGTAAACGCTCTTTTGGAAATCTAATCTGCCATTGCTATTCAAGTCTGAAGAGTTAGTCTAGGATGGGGTGTGCTATACTTATCTAATAATTCCACTGATCTACTTCTGTGTTTAATTTAGTAGTATATAGGGATTTTTTAAAAAATTATTTTTGGGGCAGCTAGGGGGCGCAGTGGATAGAGCACTGGCCCTGAAGTCAGGAGTACCTGAGTTCAAATCCGGCCTCAGACCAAACACTTGACACTTACTAGCTGTGTGACCCTGGGCAAGTCACTTAACCCCAATTGCCTTAAAAAAAAAAATTATTTTTAGTTCTAAATTCTCTCCCTCTCTCCAGCCACTTCCCCACCCATTGAGAAGGCAAGCAATACAATCAATACCCATTATATATACCGTATAGTTTTTATAATTTCTGTTTTATAATATAATTGGAGAGCTGTTAACATAAAATACCCATCATTCTTATATTTTTATTAGCCTTTTGTTCTTCCATGTGAATTTTATTTTTTTTTGAATGCATAAACTATCCTATTGGTATTGGTATTAATTAGTATGGTGCTAACTCCATAGATTAATTTGGCTAATGAGGTCATTTTTACTACATTGGCATAGTACAGCCACAAATATTGAATAACTCTCCAATTATTTGAAAGGTTTTCTTTTATTTTTGTAAAAATTACATGTATTGTGAGCTGATGCTGAGTGAGGTGAGCCAGAACCAGGAGAGCATTGTCCACAGTAACAGCAACATTGTGCAATGATCAACTATGATTGACAGCTTTTCTCAGCAATACAATGATCCAAGACAGTTCCAAAAGACTCATGATGGAAAATGCTATCCACATCCAGAGAAAGAACTATGGAGTCTGAATGCAGATTGAAGCATACTATTTTCACTTTCTTTGTTTTTTTTCATGTTTTTTTCCCTTTTATTTTGTTTTTCTCTTTCACAATGACTAATGTGGAAATATGTTTTACATGATTGCACATGTATAACCTATATTAGATCGTTTGCCATCTTGGGGAGGTGGAAGGGGATGGAGGGAGAAAAATTTGGAATTCAAAATCTTATAAAAAATGAATGTTGAAAACTCTTTACATGTAATTGGAAAAAATTAAACGTTATTAAAAAAAAGAAAGCTGCACGTATTGGTTAGTTACCTTCCCAATAGTTATTGCATACTGTGTGTGTATATATATAAAATTGGGTACATGCATGATACATACTGTTGCTTGTCCTTCATTTTTGAGGACCAATGACATCACAAGATGATGTCTTAACTTGTTTGTGAATTGGATTTGAGTAAGGTAGAGTTGCACAAAGTTGTCAGCCTTGATCTCTTCCAGAGTCATTGAAGTCCAGTGGAAAGACAAAGGCAAGATGACTGGCAGTGGCCCAGGATGCAGTAGATGACTTTGGTGTCTTCAATGTCACCAAGCTCTAAGTACTCCACAGTGCCTGCTTTAGCTGCCTTCATAGCTGCTGGAACAAATTTTTCTGCCAGGGGAAGTAATACACACACACACACACACACACACACACACATACCTATCTATCTATATCTATCTATATATAGATAGATATAGATACACACACACACACACACACACATATATATATACACACACACACATATATGTATATATATATGTTGTTCATACTTCGTTCTTAAAGAGGACCAATGACATCAGGAGGTGATGTCTTGACTTGCAAGTGGACTAGATTTAAGTGAGGCAGGGCTGTGCCACATCAGGCTCACTCTCTCCTCCTGAGTCATCAGAGTCCAGTGACAAGACATAGGTGAGGACAACTGGCGATAGCCCCAGATGCAGTGGGAGACTTAAGCTAAAGGTCTCAGTTTGTTTGAGACTATATGTATTCAGTGAGTAAAGGTTAGGTAAGAATTGAGGCAAAAGGTGGCCTACTTTGCCTTCACAAAAGAATCAGTCTGGGAAGGGAAGACCCCCAGAGTTTCTGGCCAGAATAGAAACAATTGCTATTTTTCATACCTAGTTGGTGGACAGGAGGGTAGATGTGTAGGGTGGAGATCCATTCTAGCATAATGCAGTGAAAAGAGAACCAGACCTAGAGAAAATTTGTATCTCAGCTGTATGAACTTGGTAAATTACTTTTATGTTTCTGGGCCTCAGTTTCCTCATCTGTAAAAATTAAGGGATTGAATTAGACTTCCTAGCTCTATGATCATATAGGGACTAAGACTGAGTTAAAAATTCAGTCAAAGAACTCTTTCCTTTGCCCATCTTGGAAATCAGTCATAAAAGGCCTCTGTTGTTTCCATCAGGCATCTTTTGGAACATCTCATTCAATAGCAGATTTAATCAGCTCCCTATGAAGGAGATACTGATGGCAGATAAGGATTGCCTCACTCTACATCTATGTGGATCAGGGTCAAATCATGTGGGTCCAAATTCACCAACAGATGTATTAATTGGCTTTTTATTCACCTACACATTTATAAACTGGTTCTGGAGTACCTGCTTGTAATTATCATACAAACTCTGCTCTCCTGACTACCTTCTGAGAAAGCTGGGAGTTTGAATCATTGGAGCAAAGTTAAAAAAATCAGTTCAAATCCCATTTTATGTAGGAGACCTTTCCCAGCCCCCCTCAGCTCTAGTGCCTTCCTTCTGCCCTGTTGTTGTTTGTCCTTCGTTCTCAAAGAGGACCATGACATCAGGGAGGTGATACCTTGACTGGCAAGTGAATTGGATTTAAGTGAGTGAGGGCTGTACAAAGTCGCCAGCCTCACTTTCTCCTGTGGAGGCATCTGGGTCAGTGGTGAGGTATAGATCAGGACAACTGAAGATGGTCCTGGATGCAGTGGAAGACCTTGGCCTTTTTAAGCTAAGGTCTTTAACATGTCTCAGTTTGACTGAGGCAACACCCATTCAGTGAGTAAGACTAGATAAGAAATGAGACAGAGAATGGCTTCTTTCCCTTTATCTTATATGCATATAGTTATTTACATGTTATCTCCCTCATTAAAATGTGAGCTCCTTGAGGGCAGGCATAGTGTTTTGTGGTTTTTTTTTTTGTTTTTTCTTTGTATCCTCATGCTGAGCAAAGAGCTGCTATTTGCTTCTGAACCTGTTTCTTGCTCAGCATACAGCTAGGGCCCATGACCATGACTGCTCCTCTCTGCCACCTGTAGCTATAAGTCCCCTCCTCCATCTGCCCTGGATTCATGATCTGGAACTGGGTAGTGAGTGACACAAGTGCCAGAAGGCACCCATTTCTGCCCCCTGTGCTAGCTCAAAGATTCCCCTGGAACTTCTTCCTGTCCATGTGCTTCCTGCCCTGGTGCCTCTTACATCCCTGAGCACTAGAATGCTCCAAATGCCTGGAACTGCTGCCTAGACCCTGTCCCTACTATCCATGACCCCTCTTTTGTCTCCTTAAGCCAATGTGGGCTGGAAAATATACATATATATTTTTTTCTTTTTTGGATCAGAATTTGTGGAGGAGAAGGTGTAGGGGAAGCGGGGCTGCACTTCCTTCCACTTTCTGCTGTCTTGATTCCCTCTGAATCTAAATTGCTTTAGCTTTTAACGACTGCCAAACATACCTCCATCCTGCCTGTTTATCCTTGAACTCAATTCTTTTCCATTTTCTTGATCATTTCTCATTTCTCTTATTAGGCAGAGAAGTATTTCCTTCTCATTTTTCTCAGTTTCTGTTCATAGTTCTAAAATTTGAGGTCACCTTTTTCCCAACACCACCAGCTCAGAGGTTGCTGCTTATGAATAACAAGCAAAAGAGAACAAAATCGTCTCCCCACATACATTTTTTTGGGGGGAGGGCCCCTACAAAACATTTCTAAAGTTTCTGTGTCACCATGGAAATTGCTTCCCTGCGGCAGGTGAAATTCGGAGAAAGCTGAATGGGAGCTTCTTAGACGTTCTATCAAGCAATAGTTGTACTTGCATGTAGAGAATCATAGCTGAGGAAACTGAGGTGCAAGGAAACAGTGACAGTATGTGGCAGAGCTAGGATTTGAACCCGGGTCCTCTGACTCCAAAACCCTCCCCCAGTACCTTTCCATGGTATCATATGCCTCACCACGCCTACTTTGTTTGATTCCCAGGATCCCGTGTGTGATCTGGCATTCCAGGAGTGGGCTGAACCACAGAACCACAGATATAGACCTGGAAGATCTCATAGGCCGCCTAGTCCAAACCACTTATTTTCCAGATGAGGAAACTGAGGCCTTAGCTACTCCCTCTCCACTTATATACCAGAGAAGGCAGAATAGCAGGGAATGAGGTGTAGGGCCAAATGAGCTGAGTGACAACTCTACTGGGATGATGGTAGCTGCTCATCTATTCTTTTAGGAAGGGTTGAGGGCAAGATTGACCTCAAGAAAAATTTTTGAAGTAGGTGAAGACTGTAGCCTCCCATTTCCCTCTCTACGCTTAGCACCTAAAAGGTGCCCATTACCTATATGTTCCTTGCTAGGATATCTATTCATTATAATGTCATATGCTCCAAAATTACTTTCATTCATCCGTTTTCACATCCCATTAAATTAAAAAGAGGCTGAAACCTCTTCTTCCTCCATTGGCCCATGAAGCATCAATTTGTACTTTTCTGCCTAGCCCTGGGTTCCTGCTTTTCCCTTCCTCACTTCTTGGCCTCCTCCTTCTTTTCCTCCTTACTGGACTCATCTACAGTTTTCACCTCTACTGGTAATCAAAGAATTAACCCTTTCATGATGCTCAAATCCTAAGTCAAGAAGTCAGGAAGACCCTGCTTCAACATCAGCCTCAATTACTTACTAGGTATGTGACCTTGGGCAATTCTCACCCTCTGCCTGCCTCAGTTTCCTCACCTGAAAAAACAGGAATAGCAATCATATCTGTCACCCAGCTTTGTTGTGAGGATCAAATGAGATAATATTTATAAAGTGCTTTGCCAATTTAAAGTGCTACATAAA